TGTAAATGGCCACAAAATCCTGATACACAGTTTCCGAGACGTCTCTTAAAGAAATCAGCTATCTTTCTGTAGTCTCTCCAACACTTCTAGATCAACTACTGGAGGCGGGAGTAGCCATGGTGGATTTACAGGAATAACTACCGTTGGACAAAACTCCCTTCCATACAGTCCCATCTCCTTCGCCTGGGTATTACCCACCCACCCAAAGCTTGTGTTCGGTCTTCGCTCATGTTCCCAGCATGCCTGTAAAATCCCTTTCGCAGGATGAGACACCCCATGTCCCTGTAGGTTGACCCAATAATTAATTGCCAGCTGCTGTCTCCTAATCTGCAACGGCATATCCCCCCCATCTCCACCTGTAATGCAGCCACTGGGGACGTTCGAAACACCCCACGACATATTCTGAGTCCTTGCCCCTGTATGACATCTAGCCTTGCCAGTGAGGTCCGGGCTGCCGAACCATATGCTATACTGCCATAGTCTATTACAGATCGGATCAATGCAATATACATGATCTTCAATGAGGAACGCCCAGCTCTCCACTCCTTCCCCGTCAGACAGCGCATCACATTTAGCACCTTCTTACACTTTCCCACCACTCTCTCAATGTGTTCTGCCCAGGTCGGTCTAGTATCAAAGTATACCCCAAGGAACCTGAAGGCCCCCACCCTCTCTAAGTTTCTCCCATATAACCTCAAGCAAACCTCATCTCCCACCTTCCTCCTGGTAAAGAACACTGTTTGAGTTTTCTCTACGAAGAACCTGAATCCCCACATTAATGCCCACCGCTCTACCTCATCAATTGCTTCCTGTACCTTCCTGACTATGTATGGCACATTTCTTCTCCTCTTCCATAAGGCACCATCATCTGCAAATAACGACCTCCCTATATCCGGCTGTACATTTTAGTCATTTAGCAGACGCTCTTATCCAGAGTGCATACATTTTTTTCATACTGGCCCCCCGTGGGAATCGAACCCACAACCCTGGCGTTGCAAACGCCATGCTCTACCAACTGAGCTACACGGGACCAAGAGACCAGCTCCTGTACCTGAGAGTAAACATCATTGATCATGATTGAGAACAACAGAGGACTAATCACGCTCCCCTGCGGCGTATCATTATCCACCAAGTAGCTGCCTGATAAAGACTTCCCCACCCTCACCTGGATAGACCTTCCAAACAGGAAATCCTTTATCCAGTTGTACATTCTTCGTCCTACCCCCATAATATCAAGCTTGATTAACAACCCCTCCTTCCACATCATATCATAAGCATTCTCCACATCAAAAAAGAGAGCTACAACAGTCTCCTTGTTAACCTGAGCCTTCCTGACCTCTGCTTTTAAGCAGAGCACTGAATCCATAGTTCCTCTACCCTTCCTGAACCCACTCTGATGTGGCGTTACTAGCCCTCTGCTCTCCAGGAAGTAAGTTAGCCTCTCCATAATCATACGTTCCATAATCTTACATACATGTGATGTTAAAGCTATTGGCCGATAGCTTGTTGGCTTCGTTGGATCCTTCCCGGGCTTCCGGATTGGTACCACTACTGCCTCCTTCCAACTGCCTGGTAGTTTCCCCTCCTCCCACACTCTGTTGTACAACACCAATACCTTATCCAGTGCCTCATCACTAAGATGGGCCAACATAACATAGCACACCTCATCTTTCCCAGGTGAAGTTAACCCTCCCTTACCTATTGCTCTTTTCACTTCTGTCCTGGTAAATGGTGCACTCAACGCATCATTTACATCCTCCCTCCTTTCCAGCACTCCAGGATGCTCCTCTCTCGTGTTCTCTCTCCCCCTCTGCACCTCCTCTGACAGATTTGCGGAGCTATGCACTTGAACAAATGCTTTGGCCATCATCTCTGCTTTCTCCTCATCTGTTACTGCCACATCCTCCCGACTCATCAACACTGGATAATCCCACTCCCTTCTGATCCCACTCATCCTCTTAATCATCCCCCACACTTCTCCCACAGGTGTCGCCCTTCCAATGGTGTCACAGAACCGATGCCAACATGACCTCTTTGCCTGACGGATAGTTCTCCTCACCATGGCCTGGGCCTGCTTATACTGAATCAGATGTTGGAAGTTATGTGTCCTTTTCAGTACTCTAAATGCCCTGTTCCTAATCCTCACCATTGCCCCACATTCCTCCGTCCACCATGGGACTGATTTCCTCCTCCTCCTCCCTGAACTCTTAGGTATAGCCTCAGTAGCTTCCCCCACTAACGCTGTTCTCACCCAGTTATTCATACTATCTACATCCCCTCTCATATCCACCTGAGCCATCACCTGCTCACTCAGCTCCTGAAACTGATCCCACTTTGCCCTTCCAAACACCCACCAGCCTACTCCATCCACTAACACCTCCTCCTCCCTCCGGCCTACTGTACATAGAATGGGGTAATGATCACTCCCTACTGTCGACTCCTCCCATACCTCCCACTCACATATTCCTGCCATCGCACTAAATACCAGAGTGAGGTCCAAGGCAGACTCTTTCCCTCGGCCATCATTCAGGCACACCAGATATTTATTTTCTATCAAATTTTCCATCACTTGGCCATTTCCATCCATCCGTTTCCCCCCCCCAAAGCGTTTTGTGGGCGTTAAAATCCCCACACCACATTACCTTACTACTTTCCTGGCCCTCCACCCTCTCCAGCACTTCCATGTCCAATATCTGACACGGATTATAGCAATTCACTACCACTAGCACCCCTCCTCTCAGCCACACCTCCACCACCACATACTCCTGTTCAATACCTTTGCCTACCATCTTGTAGGGAATTCCTTTCTTTATGAAGGTGGCACATCCCCCCCTCCCCCTATTTCTCGGTCCCTACGAACGGCTGTATTCAATATCCGCAACGTTTGCTTATAAGCAACATTGTACAAGAACAAAGACCTAGCTATGTTTGTTTGTTTTACGGGTGTGCTTGTGCTGGACAGTTGGACAATAACTTTTTTCTCTATTGCTTAATTCAACTATTAGATTATTCCAGGGCCAAGTGGCTCTAGCCTAATCCTTTTTAATCAACCATTGTTTTTCAATGGTTGAATCTAGCCTAGTAGAAGATGAATATGCACAGCTTTAACACATTATGTGTGTCATGGTCATCATAAGGGAGAATTATTACTGCTATTATCTGCTAAATTATTGTATGCTTTTATTCTTAACAATATAGGTGACTAGGCCTACACATGATGTAGCCATATCATATCCATAGATTTGAGCAGTACACCTGTAGCATAATAGCGTCTCTAACACGCGTTAATTCAATGAGTGAAACTCTGAGGGTGTTCGATTAATCCCGCCCAGGCACCCGTGTATTGCATCGGCTGAAAGTTGATTGCATTCGATTTGGAACCCTCCCAGGTATGAGCCAGGTGCTCCGTTCAATGCCCACAGCGAAGTCGGCTCAAAACAAAAGTGACGTAATTAAGCATGTGTAGTAATTAGTAGTATTCTGTGTTTCTCATGCAAAAGTGATTGCTTTAGATTACTGTTCATTTGAGAATGGCGCTCCTCCCTTCCTGCTTTCGCCCGATGACGTGAAGGGCCTTTGCCTGGTGCCCCGCAGCTCAGCATAATCGAATCCACTCATTCAGAACCTTGCAGATAAAAATAATAAATAAATCTGGCATGGTGCATAATTCCACAAAACAGAATATCATCTGTCAAAATGCATTTCTATCAGAACGTTTTGTAACTTTACACACTTCTAAACAAAGCCCTGCTTCTTCACAGGCTCCACCCACTATGCTGGATCCCCATCTGATTGGTGGCGCTTGTTACCATGGTCCCGTGTAAAACAGAAGTTGTGATTTATTTATGGAGCATTTGCTTGCCTTACCCTCGTTTTCCTGCTATCCTAAACAGCTTCAGACTGTTGCTTGCGACGGTACTTGATGGCTTTCTTCGGGATAAAAAATGTGGTCCATCAAAATCCCATCGGAGACAAGATGTTAGTGAATCCAAGAAGGTCTGCTTCTCCCCGTGGTGAGTGCTTTGCTAACATTTTACATTTTAGTCATTTAGCAGATGCTCTTATCCAGAGCGACTTACAGTTAGTGAGTGCATACATTATTCATACTAACGTCGTCTAGCTACTGTACTGTAACGTTATCTGTGTTAATTTGTTTACACTGACTTACTTGCTAATTAGCTAACGTTAACTTAGCTAAATGGTCGGTCATTAAAACAAGCAGAATAAGTAGTATCATAGCTATGCTTTATCTGTGCTGACATGGATAATCATTCGAAGGTAGAAGTGGTCATGCCTGACACCCTAACTTTGCTTTTACAGATGTGGGGATCTATTTTCTTATAACTAGATGTGATGCCTAGCTTAGAAAGAATGCATTAATGATTAAACATAATAGGTTTGTACTGTACTGATATAAATTGTTTAACATAACAAGCTGTTATTCATGTGAGGAGCTGTTAGGGAGTAGGGGGAGATAAGAACTTGTGTCTCACATACACGAACACTGCCTCTTTGTTAAACCGCGTCCGCTCAAGGACGTGTACTGCAAAAAGTGCCGACTTTCTGGACAAGTTGTGATGATAACAACTTATGCCTGGCAACAGTGTGCAACAGTGAAGCGCCATGGGGCTGGGACCAGCCTGTGCGCCAACGATAGGCTGAGTAAGTCTAAACCACGCTCAGTCTCTACTCTGATAGGCCAGCAGGGAGCGGGAACTATCTCTGTCAGAGTATTTAGGGAAGAACTTAGAACAATGGATCAGTTCTCTGTCTGCCCTGCGTGGTATTTCAGCGGACCCGTATATACAAACATCATATTTACCATTGAAGTGTTTTGCATTAATTAAAATACTAGTAAATCTTAGAAGACGTGTGTTCACCTCTTTTGTTCCCAATACCAGATTTGAATTGACGCAACTTAACACAGATGAGGTTGATTCAAGGAGCTGGGCTAAACAGTCAGGACTGCCCTCCATCCAAGTCCAGAAGGGACCCCCAAAATGCACCGCTACTGGCAGCATCTACAACCAGCCTCCCTTCAGCCCAGACATACACCAAGGGAGCCAGGGGCAATACAGAGAGATGCTCAAACGGGTTCAGACACCAAGATTTAAGTTAGATGTGAGTACTCTTAAGTACCACTTCTCAGTTCATGTACAGGTGGTATGCCTTAGCTTTTCAAGATTTCAGTTTGAATGAAATACACTGAAAAAAAATATAAACGCAACATGTAAAGTGTTGGTCCCATGTTTCATGAGCTAAAATAAAAGATCCCAAAAATTGTCCAAATGCACAGAAAGCATATTTTGTGCACAAATTAGTGAGCATTTCACCTTTGCCAAGATAATCCACCCACCTGACAGGTGTGGCATATCAAGAAGCTGATTAAACAACATGATCATTACACATGTGCACCTTGTAATGGGGACAATTAAAGGCCACTCTAAAATGTGCAGTTTTGTCACACAACACAATGCCACAGATGTCTCAAGTTTTGAGGAAGAGTGCAATTGGCATGCTGACTGCAGGAATGTCCACCAGAGCTGTTGCCAGATAATTGAATGTTTATTTCTCTACCATAAGCCACCTCCAACGTCATTTTAGAGAATTTGGCAGTACATTCAACCGGCCTCACAACCACAGACCACGTGTGTGGCGTCATGTGGGTGAGTGGTTTGCTGATGTCAACATTGTGAACAGTGTGCCCCATGATGGCGGTGGGGTTATGGGATGGGCAGGCATTAGCTACGGACAACGAACACAATTGCATTTTATCTATGGCAATTTGAATGCACAAAAATACAGTGACGAGATCCTGAGATCCATTGTGAGGCCAATTTGTTTTAAGGTATCTGTGACCAACAGATGCATATCTGTATTCCCAGTCATGTGAAATCCATAGGGCCTAATTTATTTATTTCAAACGACTGATTTCCTCATATGAACTGTAACTCAGTAAAATCAATGAAAATGTTGCATGTTGCGTTTATATTTTTGTTCAGTATACATTTTACTAAACTGAAGTCAAGGGCACACTATGGATCAACATTGAGTGACATGGACTCTCTCTTCCCTAGCCCCGAATCAGCTGTACTCAGTGCCCCTGACAGACAGCCAGCAGTGTGGATGATGGATGCCTAATGGAGGCCAAGGAAAGATGCATGAACCCTGGACCCAAGTCAGACGATTCCCCCGCAAGAACAGTGAGATGACCAAGTGAGTGTCATGTCTGATTCTAACATTTGTTTCTTGAAGTCAGATGTGTCAGTGGCCTACTCACCCTCTGCCTACTGTTTTTCCTCAGGTTTGTGAAAGAGATGTCAATGACAGACCGAGAGTTCAGCTTATTCTGATTTCCACTACTGCAGTAACACACACACACACAATCCCATCCAAAGACCCGTGGGACCTTTAAACTTTAAGGACTATTGTGGTTTAATAAACTGTGCCATTTTCATCATAGCATGTCATTTTTGTGAGCTACTGTATCAGGTTGTCAATTGACCTCTGCCTTTCAACTGGTACATTTGAGCTGTTACGTCTCTCTAGAGGAATAAAATGTGTAAGTCGCTCTGGATAAGAGCGTCTGCTAAATGACGAAAATGTAAAAATGAAAATGTAAAATTGTAATGCCCATGAGGAAATAAGAGTATTTTGTTTCAGTAATTAACTATTGTCACTCAGTAAGATCATTAATTCGGCCTTGGGGATAGTAACTGACTATCTCGGATCAGATACGATATTGTGACTGAAAAGTGTCTAGCCAAATATTTGATACTTCATGTTTGTATTTTTGGTAAAGCTTGTATTTTGCATAATTTCAGTACATTAACTAAATCAATAAAATTATCATCAAACGTTTTCCTCATGTTATCTTTAAAGTTTTTCTAAATAAGCTAACATTACAGTATCATTAACAACATATGAGGTCAAAGGAATATGCAGATATTTTTGCCAGATATCACTTGCTTTCTGTCAGTACACGTTTGGCAGCATAACCAGTCTTCAGTCATCCATCAAATTTACCCCTTCCCCACCCTAATCTTGTAGGCTCCTTCCCTGTTCTCTTGTACTGTATGCAGTGTGCTTTAACTTGCTAGTCCCTTTCTGATATGCGCGTGTAAACTCCTGGAGTTTCTGTGTAAATGTAATGATCTGTGAGAGAGCCACTCTACCTGAGAAACAATGCTGTTTCTGATTACAGGGTCATTGAGTGAGTCAGTCAGCACTGAGCACACACACCAATCTCAATGGCGGGCTTGAAAAATTCAGAGAATGTGGCTGTTGCTACCTGCCGTCTGTATGTTGAGCACTGTAACGCCTTCATGATAGTGCATGGAGGGACAATGATATGAATCCTCTCATGTATGAAATGTATTGGGTATCTGGGGCTACTTGCTCTCAACATAATCTATAAGGCTTTCATTGGTCAATATCTGCTCAATGACAATCAGCCAATGGTAATCCTAGTTTTTACAACAGGTAAAGAAAGCCGCACACATTAACAGCAATCAACACCACATAAAACAAATCAAAACAGCCATTGGTTTTTATTTTTTTCTTCAAGGGGAAATGTTATTTTTCTCTTTGTCATAGTCCCCAACTCTTCTTGTCCTTCACCTCAGGGGTAGAAAACAAAAAGAAGAGGGTAGGATTCATCAGGATTGAGCAAAACACTGTTTCAGTAGATCTGGGATGACCCTCCTCCCCTCATCTGTGCCCTAAAAACATCCCAAGAGTCAACAATCAACATCCACCCAACCCAAAGACAAGACAGCTCATAGAAATATAATCTTACTAACCACGTCCATTCTATGTATTCTATTTCTATGTTAATCACTCTCGATTGGTCACAACCTCAGTTATTTATCAACCCCAAGACCTTTACTGTTCCCTGGCGGTCCCACACGCTCAAGGCCAAACATCACTACACAGGAAGGGGCCAATAGCATGACGCAGCATTAGCTTGCTTTGGTACGAACATTATTAACTTTTAGTGTCCATAGTCAAGTCTGGTAAAGAGAGGAATGATGACGGGGGTGTTTTGAGGATGTTATGGGGAAGTCAAAATTATCAAAATGATGTCAGTGTTGAGTCAATGCTAAGGTCAGTAAATTAGCTTTCACAGGCTATCTCTCTATCCTTCCCTCTATTTCTCCGCCTCTGTGAAACTCGGTTCCTCTTCCCGCTGTATTCTCCAGTGGCTTGTTCAATTAAGGCAGAGTTCTAATACTGCTCACACTGCTGATTGTGTCCTGTCTCTCCGAGGAGGGTCCTGAAGTCTGATAGGGATGGGATCAGTGCACAAACTGACTGAGCTTAGTCCTGCAGTAGTGTTTGCTCAATAAAAAGGTACAGGTTACAATCTGTATATCTGTGGAAAAGCGACAGCTAATGAGAATGTGTGATCAAATCTAGGGCCAGTGTTTGAAATACTGTAGTTGGCTGCAGTTGATCAGTTGGTACCATTGAGCTTGAGCTTACGTCTGGCATTTTACAAGAAAGCGTTCTGCCCTTTGATCCTTATCGTTGGAATGGATTCATCACAATAAGCTTAATAATTCATCATAATACAATACAGGATAATACAAATTATGAATACAGAGGTGATAAAAAATAGCCAATGTTAAAACAAACAAACTAAATTGAAAACAGGATACCACAATCAGACATGCTTTAGAGCAATTAAGTTAGGCAAGAAAGCAGTTTGTCATATCATAAAAACCTCACAGTGAAAATAGTTATGCCCCTTCAAGATTACAAAGCACAGTATTCAGTCTATATATATAGATTTCCTTCTTTCTTTAGAAAATACTCGTTAGCGATTCAAACTTAGGAGGCTGTTTGGTACCACTGTATTTAATGCCTCTGGTTCTGGAACCTCTTTTTTAGTTTTGAGTCCTTTAATTTCCATTCGCAAAACAAATGGAAAGGGACACATTTGAAAGGGACGAAGCAGTTGATAGTATGCCTTTATGCCTTTGTGACGTATACAACTGTGCCTTGGGTGCTCAAGCTCTGAGCTGTTATAGCTGGACTGAGCCATGGCGGGGGGAACAAATTTGACAAGGGTTGAGGAGGAGGGGGGACCATCATCCTGGGTGGAACCGCTATTTCCTCACATTTTGTTGAACCAACAGGTTGAACCATCTCCCCTGGCTTTAAAAAAGGCTTCCAAGCCTCTATTTAATCTTAAATAACACATTTTGGAGATGGAGGCAGAGTAATCCTACAGATGTCATCGATGATAAACTGTACTTTGCTGGCTGATTGATAAACAAAATGAAAGTGTTACACATTTTGCCCATATTGATAAATACAATTTGCCAGCACTACAGTAAAAAGACTGAGGGTACTGCCGTACAACAGATTGAGTTGGTGATCATTGCAGACTTTTGCAAGAACAGACATGTCTTGCATTGTTTTTCGTCAATATTTTGGTCTTTGGTCAATATTTTCCTTCAATTTATACACATATTCATACACACACAAATATGCATGTACATACACACTTATAAACGTGTAATAAACTGGATATTTGTGCACATATGAATTCAGACTTCTTCATAAAGGAATTTTTGCACAAAACATCAAGATTAAAATAAATAAGTAACCCCCCCCAAAAAAAATTAGTACCTGTTTCATAATTCTGCAGAAGAAAAAAAAAAAACGAAAAAAAAAAAAATCACACAAAATGAAGTCAAATAGAAAGTAGCCTTATGTACAGCCTTTTTCTTTTTCTGACACAGGCTAAAGGCGTTGTTTTAAATAAACAGACTTTGCATCTTTAAAGTAGCCTGAGAGAGAGGCTAGACATGAGAAAAACACTAGTCCTTCCATGTATGCGGGCGCCAAAACATGGCTGCCACACAAGTAGACTTTCCTTCTCAACAAGAACAATTTCCTTCTCAAGTCCTGGAGTCTCAAAGTCTTTCTCTTGGCTCGGGTTTCAAGTGATGGCGTCGCTAGTTGTTAGCCGCTAGCTCGCAGTGCGAGTCCTCCCTCAGTAGTGTTGCCGCGGGAATGGTCCCGGCTAGTGCTGCCACGGCTGCTAACTATTGGGCGGTCCGTCATTCAGGAAGTAGGTCGTCATTTCCCCTTTGCCCTTGACTTTAACGACACCACGGCACTCCAGAACATATCCTATATCTGAAAGCACCTGGTGGAGGTCCGTGGTAACCTGAGGAGTGAGTGGAAAAATTAGTAACAGAAACAAGGGGTTGTTGACTAAAATGCATTTTGAGCGGCATACACTATGCTTATTAGGAACGGGGTATGACCTACTGAGTGTTAACTGATTGACATCCTCCATACCTGAATGCGGTCGGGGACTCCTGTGCTGTCCATGCGACTGGCCACGTTGACCGTGTTCCCCCAGATATCGTATTGTGGCTTCCGTGCTCCAATCACCCCTGCCACCACTGGCCCAATGTTCAGACCTGAGAAAAGAGAGACGGACCATAGATTCATAAAAATAATGGTTATTCATACCAAACTCATGCATCCAACCATATTCTACTCCGTTTCCTATTAACCAACTCTCTCTTTGGTCTGCCACACTGGTTCCTATCCCACTCAATCCTCTCTGTGTTTCAGAACTTCATGTGATATTATTTAACCTCAGCTAGCTTATTTAAAGCTTTTTTTAGCTTTTTCAGACTGTTTCCCCTCACCTATCTTCATCTGGAAGTTGTTGAAGGAATGCTCGTTGATGTACTTCATCTGCTCCCTCAGTCTCATGGCGTAGTCGGCCAGAGCCGTAATGTGGGAGCGGCCCTCACGGTCGTAGGTGGAATCATTGAGGCCCGAGGCGGCCATGTAGGTGCTGCCAATGGTCTTGATCTTCTCCAGCTGACGAAACTTCTCCTCACTGATGATCTGAGAGTAGGACAAAACACAAAGGCTCAGGTTTGAGGCTGACCAAAAACGTATACCATTTGAAATGCATGAGGCCAACGATGATAGAACTGAAAATGCACTAAAGGGCAAAAGACACGGAATTCACAATGACACTAAGCGTCCAAAATCCCGTAGGCTACCCTCTCCTCTCCTCCCTCCCTCTTTACCTCGTCAAAGTCAGCGATGATCTCGTTGAGCAGCCTAAGACACTCCACTCCTTCATTGTTGGCCTCCAGCTCCACATAGAACTCAGAGAAGTTGGAAATTGATGCGAACATGACGGCCACACACTCACAGGACTGGTAGTAGAGCTCGTCGTTACGGCGCTCACGTGCCAGGAAGTGAGCCGCCACGTCCTTGGGGAGGATGTTGTGGAGGAGGCGGCGGTTGTAGGCCTGAAGCTCCTCCATCTCCTCCTTCTCCTCTGTGGCCTGGAGGGAGGACATGAGGTAAAAATGTTAAGATAGGTGGGGGACATCTTATACTACACTATGTTCTGCTGTAGTCAAGGTAGAGGAGTGCCCCCCTGTAGGCCCATGGTACCTGTAGTTTCCAAAGGAAGTCGAGGCGTGAAGTGGACTCCACCTGCTGGGCATGGAGGTAGAGCGCCAGCACAAACACAGTGAGAATCACAGGAGTCATGACTCTCAGAGACACTTTGGTCACACTGAACGGGCTGCAGAGAGACAGAACAGGAGGTCAGAGAGAAACAGTTAGAAAGAAAACCAAGAAAGACACAAACCAAACTGCAGAGAGACAGAGTTGATCAGAGAAAATGGTTCATACACACACCTACACAGATATAAAACAATGATTTCAATATGAAAAATGTAGGCACTCACTAACTGTAAGTCGCTCTGGATAAGAGCGTCTGCTAAATTACTAAAATGTAAATGTAAACATTTCAGAAAGGCTTTGAATCCAAACTTACCACTCGTCTGTAGTTTCATTGAAACTGGACCATTGAATTGTTTCATTGAAATCACTGGAGGAGTAAAATAAGAAAGAAAATGGTTTAGTCAAATTAATTTGCATAAGAAAACATCGATGACCACAACGTTGAACCCTCCTGAAAGCAGCCCCAGTACTCACAGGGCTTTGGAGGTGACGAAGAGGTCAGCATTGTCGAACAGCGCCACCTGTGGCCACTCCATCAGCAGCAGGAAGGTGAGCTGGATGAGCAGCATGAGGGCCAGCTTCCCTATACTGCTGATCTGGAGGAACACTGAACAGGCCAGCAGGGTCAGCAGCACACTGTAGCTGAAATACTGAGGGAGAAAAGGACATAGAGAACTGATTGATGATCAGATTAACATGTTATTTATAAAGAACATAAACGTCCCTTTTTCAGGACCCCTTTCAAAGATAATTTGTAAAAATCCAAACAACTTCACAGATCTTAATTGTAAAGGGTTTAAACACTGTTTCCCATGCTTGTTCAATGAACCATAAACAATTAATGAACATGCACCTGTGGAACGGTTGTTAAGACACTAACAGCTTACAGACGGTAGGCAAATAAGGTCACAGTTATGAAAACGTAGGACACTAAAGAGGCCTTTCTACTGACTCTGAAAAACACCAAAAGAAAGATGCCCAGGGTCCCTGCTCATCTGCATGAACGTGCCTTAGGTATGAGGAGTGCAGATGTGGCCAGGGAAATAAATTGCAATGTCCGTACTGTGAGACGCCTAAGACAGCGCTACAGGGAGACAGGACGGACAGCTGATCGTCCTCGCAGTGGCAGACCACGTGTAACAACACCTGCACAGGATTGGTACATCCGAACATCACACCTGCGGGACAGGTACAGGATGGCAACAACGACTGCCCGAGTTACACCAGGAACGCACAATCGCTCCATCTGTGCTCAGACTGTCCGCAATAGGCTGAGCAAGGCTGGACTGAGGGCTTGTAGGCCTGTTGTAAGGCAGGTCCTCACCAGACATCACTGGCAACAACGTCGCCTATGGGCACAAACCCACCGTCGCTGGACCAGACAGGACTGGCAAAAAGTGCTCTTCACTGACGAGTCGCGGTTTTGTCTCACCAGGGGTGATGGTCGGATTCGCGTTTATCGTCGAAGGAATGAGCGTTACACTGAGGCCTGTACTCTGAAGCGGGTTCGATTTGGAGGTGGAGGGTCCGTCATGGTCTGGGGCAGTGACTCACAGCATCATCGGACTGAGCTTGTTGTCATTGCAGGCAATCTCAACGCTGTGCGTTACAAGGAAGACATCCTCCTCCCTCATGTTGTACCCTTCCTGCAGGCTCATCCTGTGCATGATTTCTTGCAAGACAGGAATGTCAGTGTTCTGCCATGGCCAGCGAAGAGCCCGGATCTCAATCCCATTGAGCACGTCTGGGACCTGTTGGATCGGAGGGTGAGGGCTAGGGCCATTCCCCCCAGAAATGTCTGGGAACTTGCAGGTGCCTTGGTGGAAGAGTGGGGTAACATCTCACAGCAAGAACTGGCAAATCTGGTGCAGTCCATGAGGAGGAGATGCACTGCAGAACTTAATGCTGACTGTTACTTTTGATTTTGACCCCCCCTTTGTTCAGGGACACATTCTTCCATTTCGGTTAGTCACATGTCTGTGGAACTTGTTCAGTTTATGTCTCAGTTGTTGAATCTTGTCATGTTCATACAAATATTTACAAATGTTAAGTTTGCTGAAAATAAACGCAGTTGACAGTGAGAGGACGTTTCTTTTTTTGCTGAGTTTATAAAGACATCAGTATACAACCTGACATCAGTGACACACCCACTCACCTCTGGGAAGGGACATGAGGGGCCCTGGCTGGGACAGATCTCTAGACCCCCATCTACCGACACAGACAGGTTGCGGATGAGACAGGGTGTCACCATGGAAACAGAGGTGTTCAGCTCCCGGGCGACGCAGTCCACCAAACTCTCCGTGTCACAGGCAAACTACAACCGAGGAGACACACACATACATGTTAAATTGTGGGAAAATGTTTGCTGTAGGTGTGTGTGTCAATCTGTTCAGTCTCACCATGTTGACAAAGGCAGAGATGAAGACGAGGATGATGGTGAACACCCCCACCAGAGTGCTGTTGGTACGAGACTGGACTATCTTCTTTGACACTATCTGCATCGCAGCTGGAAACAGCTACAAGAGCGGAGGAATAAAGGAAATAAAGTTTAGTGTCCAGAATGCATGTGGGTGTGTCCAGTAGGTGATGTGTGTGTTGTGGAGGCCTTACCTTAATGCAGGAATATATGGCACAGATGAAGAGGATGTTGGCGAGGATGATGAAGATACTGATGTAGATCCCCAGCATGACCGGGGTGCTGCAGGAGGAGACACACAGACAGGACGACTCAGAAACGTGTGTGTGTGTATGTGTGTGTGTGTGTGTGTACGCGTGTGTCACTCACTGTGGAAATATGACAATCTGGATGAAGGAGATGAAGCAGAAGACCAGGAGGGTACAAGCCACGTAACCCCCAAAGCGATCGTCTACCTTCTTCGAATACTACCAGAGAGAAAGATCAAAACTCATTCAAAAAACAAATCTTAGGAAACTATCAGCAGACTTCAACTATGAATATGAACTACATAACACACCAGGGATGAACTAAATAAAGCCCAGAGTATTCTGGGATATGTACGCAGATACCTTTTTCTCCAGGCTAGAGGTCTGGAAGGTGAGCAGGAACTTCTTGACGTGGTCTTTCCTCAGCTGGTCGATGCTGCGGGCATCGATGGCTCGCCCCAGAAACTCATCCACCTCATCTTCAGGGTTCATTGCCTCCTGGGCACCACGGCTGGAAAGGGGGAGGGAAGCGAGGGAAGAGGTAGAAAGATATAAGAGAAAGGTAAGATGGTAAGACCTTTAGAGTATGTGAATGTGCATTTTGGCACGTGAGCCTGTCTCCCTGGGTGTGTATTTAGGTGAGTGTTTATATGTGTATATCACAAACATCCTCAGAGCAATAACCACTCACTTGTCTTTGCTGGACGACTCATCAATCCCCTGAGAAAGAGAAAGAAAAGGAGGATTAACCAACATACAAAACCCAGACGAGAGATGTAAAAGAGAGGGATTAGCCCTAGGGGAGAGATGCAGCTGGCCCTCAGGAGACAGAGAGGAAAGACAGTACAGACAATCGGTAGACACTGGGGAACATAATGGAGAGACTACTACAGGGTTTCCCAAACACGGTTCAGGGGACCCCAAGGGTGTTTTGTTTTTTCCTTAGCACTACACAGCTGATTCAAATAATAAAAACCAAAACGTGCACCCCTTGGGGTCCTCAGAACCAAGTTTGGAAAACGCTGGTAGTGGGACACACAGAGCACTCTGAAGAGAGGTAACATTTATGGGTGAGACTATTGGGATACTATAAGTACAAGTAGGGGAGAAGCAGGAGTGACACAAATGATCCAAGAAAGAGAGAGGTCTCGTCTCACCATCTGTCTGAAGACTTTGGAGTCCTTGGTCCTGGAGAACCTTGTGTCGGGCACCCAGCGAGGCATCAGGCCCTCGTTAGAGTTGGACCGCGTCCTCTGCATCTTGGCCATCATAGCCTTCTCATCTTTCTAGACAGAGGAAAGCACAGACAGAGACAGAGGTTAGACAACTGAACGGGTGAAACCCTGGTGTGGATTAAAGTGGTGCAAACATGGACAACCCAATGGGTCGTTTCACCAATTCAGTGCATTTTGAGTTGTGTAACTTGTAAGGGTTGGTGTGAGGTGTGACACAGGTGCGGTCCAGGATATACAGTAGGCAGTAGGCAGAGATGGTGAAACAAGGATCTTTACTGGTGGTCCCGAAGCCAAAATACAAAATAACTGACTTATCACGATAAAAGAAAGGCTGAGCAAATAAGTCTCCAAAAACCGTCTGACAGCCAAAATACGAAATACTACCTACGACTGAAACAAATAATGAAACAGGTCTCCGATCAGACACTGAGTAGTACTACTGGACATAAAGAAACTAACAGAGAAAACTAAGCAAGGGAACACAGGGAAGTGAGGGCATAAATTCACAGGTGAACAGGTAGACACAGGTGACACCAATAGGATACTGATTAGTCCAGACTGTGAGTGAGGATGTGCCTAAGGTTGTCGGAGGATGACACCTAGTGGTTCGCTCGCTTTCGGGTTCCAGGTGAAGGAGCGCACGCTCTTCTGGGTGAGGGCTGTCAGGGGAGCGGCGAGCAGCTAGGGAGCTAAAATTGTGAATAAATCGCCTATAAAAATTAGCGAACCCTAAAAACCGTTGTAGTTGCTTGAGGGATGAGGGCTGGGGCCAATCCAGTACCGCGCTAACCTTGGCTGGGTCCATCTGTAGGTCCCCCTGGGTGACGATGAACCCCAGGAAGGAGACTGTCTCTGTGTGGAACACGCACTTCTCCGCCTTGACGTAGAGCTGGTGATGGAGAAGGCGTTGGAGGACCATCCGAACGTGCTGCTGGTGTTCACTCATGTCCTTTGAGAATATTAGGATGTCATCCAAATACACGAAGACGCTGTAGTCGAGGAGGTCCCAGAGCACGTCATTGACCAACGCCTGGAACACCGCAGGCTTGTTGGCTAGACCGAACGGCATGACGGTACTCGTAATGCCCACTGGGTGTGTTAAAAGCCGTCTTCCACTCGTTCCCCTCCTGAATCCTCACCAGGTTGTAGGCATTGCGTAAGTCCAGCTTGATGAAGTCCCGGGCTCCCTGCAACGACACGAATGCCGTCGTCATCAGTGCACGGCCGCTGCCCACCGTCCTTTTTCCCCACAAAGAAGAAGTCCGCGCCAGCCTTTTCGATATACTCCCTCATGGCCAGCGTCTCCGGCCGAGACAAGAAAAACAATCACCCTCGTGTGGGCATGGCGCCCGGCAGGAGATCGATAGCGCAGTCGTATGGCCTGTGAGGAGGTAGGCCCTTGGCACACCTCTTACTAAACACCTTCCCCAGATCCCAATACTCCCGGGGAACGCCTGCCAGGTCTGGGCCGGTGACGTAGTCTGTAGCCGCCATCTTCCCAGTGGCAACTGCTGCTAGAGCGGTAGGCGGTTCGGAGTGCGGGCCCTGGGGAAGAGGTGAGGACTGGTAGATGGTCTGGGACGGTGGTTTGGGCTGACGAGTGGTCGGTGGAGACCGGAACAGGACGGGGGCGGAGCCTCCCTCCAGGATGAGCCGCCCCGTGGACCAGTCTATCCGGGGTTTGTGGGCGACCAGCCAGTGGTGCCCGAGGACGAGGGGAAACTCTGGAGAGTCTACAATGAAAAACTGGATATCCTCCCATAGCCCCCCCGCCACCCGGACACGCACAGGGACAATGCGCCGGGTGATGAAGCCCGACCCCAACTGCCGGCCGTCCAGGCCCATGACCGGAACCGGCTCGGAGAGGGAGAGTAACGGAACGCTCCACCCTTGGGCCAACCCCGCGTCCATCAGGTTTACCGCGGCCCCAGAATCCACCAGTGCATGCTCCCGACGCGCAGCGCAGGCCCACTGAACCCTTACGGGGAGAAAAGTCTGGGAGTCTCTGGAGTTGGGGTTTCGGTTCCGCCTCTCGAGCCCGGGTCTAAAACTCCACGGAGTAGTACGCCACCGAACGGTCACCCTGCCGACAGGCCGTGAGCCGCCTCCCGGCCTCGTGTCCCGACACCACCCGAGAGGTGTCGAACACCTTGCGTAGCTCCCGGGTGAATTGGTAGGAGTCGGAGCACGCTGGAGTTTGGCTATCCCACTCCGCGGTAGCCCAGGAAAGGGCCCGACCCGTCAACAGAGTGATGATGTAAGCCACCCGGCCCTGCTCCGTCGGGAAGGAGGAGGGTTGTAGGCTGAATATCAGGGAACACTGGGTGAGGAATTCCCTGCAGCCCTCTGGACGTCCGTCATACCTCTCCGGAGGTGGTAGGCGGGGTTCCCGCAATGTCGCAGGTGAGACTGAAGACGCCGCGGCCGCGGCTTTCGCTCCGCCGGCTGCCGGGGCTGGTCGTGTGTCCACCCGGCCCTGCACGGCGATCATCAGCTGGCGGAGATTCTCGATGATCTGCTGCAGGCTGCGGTCGTGTTGGTTCAGCATAGCTCCCTGTGTTGCCAATGCGCTCCGATACTGTGCTGCCTCCGCTGGGTCCATATTGGCTCAGTTTTCTGTAAGGGTTGGTGTGAGGTGTGACACAGGTGCGGTGCAGGATATACAGTAGGCAGTAGGCAGAGATGGTGAAACAAGGATCTTTACTTGTGGTCCCGAAGCCAAAATACAACAATACGGACTTATCACGATAAAAGAAAGGCGGAGCAAATAAGTCTCCAAAAACCGTCTGACAGCCAAAATACGAAATACTACCTACGACTGAAACAAATAACGAAACAGGGAGAACATTTCTCAAGTACCTGTACATAGGTCTCTGATCAGACACTGAGTAGTACTGCTGGACATAGAGAAACTAACAGAGAAAACTGAGCAAGGGAACACAGGGAAGTGAGGGCATAAATACACAGGTGAACAGGTAGACACAGGTGACACCAATAGGATACTGATTAGTCCAGACTGTGAGTGAGGAGGTGCCTGAGGGTGTTGGAGGATGACACCTGGTGGGTCGCTCCGGAACTGCGACCCCCTCCTGTAACAGTAACTTGGTCAAAAAATACCTTGATTTCACTTAATTTTAACATTCTGTCATAAAGGGCACATGTTCAATATCATAAATTTTTTAAAATCTAATCTCAATAGGTTAAAGAGCAACTATGCCACTTTTCAACCTCATATTCATTATCTTCAGCACCAAACCAGTGTCTGTGTGAAAACGGCGCATTTCTACATTTTATAGAAATAAATATATACTGAACAAAAATATAAACACAACATGCAACAATTTCAAAGATTTGACTGAGTTTCAGTTCATATAAGGAAATCAGTCAATTAAAATAAATTCATTAGGCCCTAATCTATAGATTTCACATTGTCATGACTCATGGGTTGAGGATCAAACATGCCGGCTAGGCAAAGGTTTGAACACCCCCTTTCCTGGGGGCCAGTTTTATGACCGGTCATAAATACCGTGCAGACTTTCTCTTCCTTGCCATGATGTATTGGGAGAATCCCTTTGTTAACAAAGTAAGTTTTCCTGCCAAGACTCCAACATCCAAAAGTGGATAATGAAACAATATTCCTACTTAAAAGAATGTGGGAAATGGTTGGTGGGGACTTAAAGAAAAATCATGTCAAATTCGTTACTATGTTGTGATGTCATTAAAGATGGTGGAACATAACTGTATCTCTGGGGGTGTACACTTCCCAGTTATGAGGTTTGCATCCAATTGTTATATAAAACGAATGATTAAATATAATAATACTTTTGTGAAGATAACAATGTGATTTTAGCATTCTATATGAGATGATTGTTTTCCATATTGATTTGTTCTCAGTCAGTGGCCACGCCCCCTTTACCCTGAGTGCATAAAAAGCCTCGTGAAGAAATTCACCTCAGACCAGCAGACGTGAAGTGTGAGCTAAACGTTGCAAATGGTTGAATTTCATACCAGACCAGGAAGCCCACGGCTTAGAATGGTTGACACTCTACAAGACCAGCAGACGTGAAGTGTGAGCTAAATGCTTCAAAATGGGTTAAACTACAACTCCATTACCAAAGGAAGACCAAGCAGATTTCGGTATAAGCCGAATGTTGCAAATGGTAGAATTTCTATTAGACCAGGAAGCGTGAAGCTGAAGCTACACGGCTTAAAATGGTTAGACCAAGTAGACCAGGAAGCCCCACGGCTTAAAATGGTTGAAACTCTACAGACCAGCCGACATGCAGCGCGAGCTGAATATGGCAAAATGTTGAAACGAGGTGAAGAAGAAGACAACGCACCAGACCTTATCATCTCAGTCTGCAGCTGGCATGTATAGTCGTCTAGAGAACTTTCACTACAGACATGAGAGGAGAGGACAATCCCTCTCAGACAACCGCTGGTACATCTGAAGTATATATTCTAACCACTACTACGACAAGAAACTCTACAAAGGACATTGGGATCTCTGGTGGGCAAACCAGAGTCCTACCTCATCAACTCAACTATCGAGTACAGCTACACGTAAATACATGTTGCATTTCTAATCCGAATGAGCGTTATTAGGCTGCATAAGTATTATGATTTCCGTGAGTGTAACCACGATAGTTTGAATCTCTGTCTCTCCCTTCCACTCTGACCCTCCTTCTACCCAAGCATTCATGCTATTGTTGGTCCAGTCCACTAGGGACCTGTTTTCATTGTATTACGTTAGTAATCAATAACCTATGTGTGTGTATGTGTGTGTGTGTTTGTATTGTGGTATTATTTAGTTAGTTAGTAAATAAATAATTAAGCCAATTTGTGTTTTGCTGATTGATCAATACATTTAGGGTTCTTGCAGGTTCAAGGATTTTGCGACATTCAGAATGAGACTGATAAGAGGTAATTATTTAATAAGTGACTGTTATCGATATATAAAATATATATATCTTCGGGAGATGGTAACTTGTTAAACAACTTCTTCCGTGGTGCCCCAAATTCCTAATGAGTTAATTGTTACATTATTAATTTAATTGAGTGACAAACATAGTTAGGTGATTCGATAAATAACAGTCATACATTAAAGTAAGTCACCTCACGACAACATGACTGGGCAAGGGCGCAGGCATGGGTGGGCCTGGGAGGGCATAGGCCCACCCACTTGGGAGCCAGGCCCACCCACTGGGGAACTATGCCCAGCCAATCAGAATGAGTTTTTCCCCACAAAAGGGCTTTAGAAAAGGGCTTTAGAAATGACTTGACATTTTGGGGTTAAGTAGTTTACAATCTTCCTAGAAGTCACAGAGGGTGCACAGAGTGACATGTCAAAATGCAGAATTTTGCCACTTTATCAAGTCTTTATTCATATAAAAAATCAGATTTATTGAATTATCCATGTGGTCTATATTAAAGGGCACTTAATTTAATATAACATGCTTTTAAAATATATTGGTGCACAATGTCTACTTCAAATATCAAAGGGACGCAAAAGGCACTCTTCGTGGAACAACCTCAATTCTCTAGTGTTTGGAGAGCCCTGTAAACTGTCACACAACTGTATGTGTGGTGGTTGGCAAGAATAGGAAGTATTTTTATCCCTGACCCGTTTCTGGCTGCAGCCCAGCACTAGGAAGGTCTCAATGCTGTTCTCCTTCAGGTAGGCGTTCCTCTCCCCTCCGAAACCCGGCTCCACCTCATAATCCCCATTCAGATACTGCAGGGTGGCCTTGGTGATGTGGATCCTCCTGGGAGAGGGACACAAGGTCAGTCTGTGTGTGTGTATGTGTGCGCGCGCGCGTGTATGCATACGTGTATGCGTGTCTGTGTGTGTGTGTGTGTGTATGTGTGTCTCCCTCACCCTGCCTTGCCCCCAGCCTCCATGTGGTTGGCTAGTGTGACATCGTTGGACCACACGTCAAACTGCCACTTCCTGAGTCCCAGCACCCCACAGTGCACACGGCCGCTGTGTATGCCCACACGCATGTTCACGTTGACCCCCGTCACCTCACGCACCAGCCTGCACACACACACAGAGAAGATTTATGTTACATTTCTTTCCAAAAAACACATGATACTCCAACAGGCTGAGGCAATTCATTTATGATTTATATTTTATGATTTGTCATATCTAGAAAATATGGCATCTCCCCACACACAGACGTTCCCCATACTCACGAGATGGCCTCTATCATGTCGACGCCCATCTCCACACAGCAGTGGGCGTGGTCAGCGCGGGGCTCAGGCAGCCCAGAGACACAGTAGTAACAGTCGCCCAGGATCTTGATACGCAGACAGTGGTTCTCCTACAGACAGAGAGACAAAGCAGTTATGACAGTTAGCGAGACAGAGAACAAATGATATTCAATTGGATGGGGAAGACAGTAGTTAACGGAGAACATTTTCAAAAAAAATGGGGGGAAGGTGAAAAGAGAGAGGTGAAGAGAAATGCTTATTTACCGATGCTAGTTTGTCGAAGCGGGCGAAGAGCTCGTTGAGCGTCATGACCAACTCCTGAGCCGTACACTGAGACGCCAAGCTGGTGAAACCCTCAATGTCTGCAAACAGAATACTGAGGAGAAAGAGAGAGATAGGATTGATTGATCAGTAACTAATCAGATGACCCTTCATCCTCCTGTTCTGTGAGGCCAGTCTCTCTGTGTGTGTGTGTGTGTGTGTGTGTGTGTGTGTGTGTGTGTGTGTGTGTGTGTGTGTGTGTGTGTGTGTGTGTGTGTGTGTGTGTGTGTGTGTGTGTGTGTGTGTATTTGTGTTTGTGTATTTGTGTTTGTGTGTGTGTGTGTGTGTGTATAGTCGCTGTAATTGAATCTGGGCTTGAGCTCCCATTCTTTGGGGATTATTTTATCTTGGCTGCTGGTAATTAAGTATTCCCTTACTAGTGTTAATTAGCCTGCTCTCTGCCAAGCCCTGAGTAAGGGTGTGTGTATATGTGTGTGTGTGTCGGCGTGCGTCTCTATACAGTGTGTGTGTATGAGAATGTTGATCTGCATGTGTGAATAAATATAAAAGTACCCAGACTTTATTTGATCAAAGATACCGTTGAATATGTGGCACAGAAATGCTAACAGTAGTTTGCTTAGAGCAGTTAAATGAGGTCAAGTGATAAAACACATCAACATTATGTTATATGTTAAGGCGTCCGCATGCTTCCCAGCGAAACAGTTCGGAAGAGCTCGTGTATATATTATGACGACATTTTGTGACGTTTTTGTTCATTTTGGAATTCGGTGAGGGTTTTTTCAACTGTTCGGGCATAATAAAAAAAAATCTAAAGGCAAGCCAAAGTTCGGAGCAGAAGTCTAAACCCCTTCGTCGGTGATTGGTCAACATTCTTCTTTGTTGTCATTCAATTAGGGACAACTCGTTTTCATGCAATTTTTTCATTGAGAAATACTGCACCAAACATCTTAGTTAGATGTAAAATTGTACAACTAAGATCTCCTCGGCAAAAACATCAAAATTAAAGACAGATTTCTTGAGTTATTTTAGATTAGTTCTGACTATTTTGGCTACGGCGTCTCAAAATGGACAAAAAGTACAATTGCGTTTTTTTCTCGTTTTTCAAGCGAAGGTCTTTTAAGGGAGTATCCGAGCACACTCGTTCGATTCTCCTAGCCGACTTCGGCTGGACGGCAGCCGAACTGAAGCATGCTGACGCCTTTAGAGGTCATAGCTCTTGTCAGTTTGGTTTGTTCAAGTAATGCTGTGGTTATTGATATGTAGTTGTCAGGGCAGGGCTACTGAGGTTACCAGGATGATTGTGTCTATGCTGACCTGACGTTGTCGTGTTTCTGGATGTAGATCTTATGGAACATCATGTCTTCCTTCTTAGCATTGATGTCAGCCTTCATCTCCATGGCAACATGCCTAGGCAACACAGACAGCAAGAGGCGTTCCTGAAGTGTTGGGAGAGAAGAAAGACAGAGAGAAAGAAACTGGCTTAGTTAGTATCTGCATTTAATACATATGTCCTTCAAAATTACTGCTTTTTGTCAGTCAGTGGAGGTGTTTACGCAGTGTGTGCGTGTGGGTGTACCTGCTGCTGGTTCTCTCTCTGCAGGTGCAGTCGGGCCTGAATGTATCCTCTGGTCTCCTGGAAGGCCTGTCTCTGAGACACCTCAGCAGGGTAGTGGGTACAGATCCCAATGATGTTAGTGCACAGGAAGATCAGCACATTGGCACTCAGCTAGAAGAGAGGAGGGTGAAGAAAGGGGGGACATTTAGAGACTTGACCCCACATCGGTTTTTCCAAAACATTCTGTGCTAGGGAGCATGGTAGAGCCTTGTTGTGGGTATTTGGATAGGGATGTACAGTATTAAACACAGTGATGAAACACACATGGAATCTGATACTGAAATGGTGCTTTCCTTGTCTTGCATTAAAACAGTGGCATAGGTATATTGACATTTCTACAGTTGACAACAGTTCCAGGAAATGCACCTAATTCTCTAGTGGGAATTGAAAGCAATGAATACATGTACCGATAATCTAAAATCTATTTCACCCCATCTTTCTCTCCCACTCTCCCCCTCTCTTCTTATACCTCTCTACCTCCCCCTTCTATCTGTATATATCTCTCTGTCTCTCTCCCTGCACATCTCTCCCTCTCTTTAATTCTATGATGGCATACATACAGATTCACTGGTCATACTGTGGTCAATGACACATTGTGCTTCATTTTACATTTTAGTCATTTAGCAGACGCTCTTATCCAGAGTAACTTACAGTTAGTGAGTGCATACAGAACGCCATGCTCTACCAACTGAGCTACACGGGACTCAAGGACTGAGATGTACAGTTACATCATTATAATACATTACATACACCTGACCTTGTATGGAAATACACAATATCCATGCATTTACTCACACATGCACTCCTTCACGCACACAAATTCACACACACACACACACACACACACACACACACACACACACACACACACACACACACACACACACACACACACACACACACACACACACACACACACACGTGCAAGCATGCATGCACACACACGTGCAAGCATGCACACACACACAGACAGAGCACACACACAAATATTAACATTCCCTGTGGAGGCATGATGATCCTGTTTGTGGGACCGTGTTTCCTCCTGCTCTCGTCCTCTCATGGCAGTCCATTGACCACCTCATGTTTTACAGCTTGCTTTCTGAACTTGTTAAACTTGAAATGAAACAGGCGTTTTTTTTGTTTCCTGCCTCTGGGACCTCCCCTGTCACACTGTCCCCGGAGTGCCCCAGCTGTAGCGTGGGAAAAAACGCTGCCCTCTGACACGCCAAGAGGCTGTTTCCTTTAAAGATGGCCTCTTGTTTACAGTCTGCTGCGTGAGAGAGTGGAAACACTCCACTCCTCCCAAGGCTGTTTTTGGACACAAACACCGGCTTGCCGCATGCCAACAGGAAACACTGTTATGTCACACCCTATGTGGCTACCCAAAATTAGCACAGCAAATAAGTTAATGGGCTAATGTGCCAGCTAGGGTTAACCAAGGTCTTCCCAATCTAAACCACATCTTTCCTTGGAGGTATAAGATTAGATATTTTTCTAAATTCAACTCTTTGCCAAACCTCACTCTCTCTTTCTCTCTTATGCACTCCCTCTACTTTATATGAAAGTGATTCTACCGTCCTTATAAAACTTTTAATCATCCTGAAATAGACAGTTGATTGCCCCATCATTATGCAGGTGAAGTCTGACTCCTACTGGGCAGAAACTGTAACACAGGTAGGCTTGGTTTGAATGACTTCAGTTTACAGCAAACATACAACCATTATATTGCACACTTTAAAATATTCCTCCTCCTAAGAATATTACACAAGACAGGGATGAAATTCCACCTAGCCCATATATGTGCATTTCGTCAAAGAGTGAAATTAACTGAAGAAGGCTTGGTTTAGCTTGATCTCTTAATCCACATCTGGCCCATTAATTTACTTTGAACTCTCCCTGACCTCTCCGAGAAAAAGTGCATAGGTGAATATGCAGAGTTTTTACACCAAGGAAGAGGGAAATAAATAAAACAGGAAGAATAAGAGAAAAGAGAAATAAACAAGATACATGGAGAAAATGGGGCAAGAGGGAGCGAGAGATTTAGAATGAGAAGCAGCAATAAAAAAGAGAGAGAGGAAGATATGTGAGCTAAGGGAAGGGGGAATAGACTGGGAAGGGAGGAGCGGTGAGAGTAGAAAATAGAATAGCATACAACGGACAACAACAGATAACATGGAGACAGGGGGATGTTAAGGGGAGGAAGGATGTGGTGGTAGTGGAGTGAGTGAGAGAGAGAGAGAGAGAGAGAGAGAGAGAGAGAGAGAGAGAGAGAGAGAGAGAGAGAGAGAGAGAGAGAGAAGAGAGAGAGAGAGAGAGAGAGAGAGAGACGGAGGGAGTGAGGGACAGAGAGAGACGAGAGAGGGATGAGTAGGACGGTAGGGAGAGAGAAGAGAGATTCCGTTAGTGTTTTGGTTCCTGAGAAGAGAGTTCTATCTTGGAGATAGAGAGCCGATTGCGGAGACGAGAGGCGGCGGGGTGAGGGGCCGAGGAGGAGAGGAAGGATGAGAGATAGAGAGGCTCTATTTGTGATGTGAGGGAGAGTGGGAGAGCAAGCGTCTCGAGAAGAAAGGATAGAGGAGAGGAGCAAGAGAGATCGAGAGAGAGAGAGATGGGGAGACGAGACCGAGAGATGGAGAGATATAGAGGACAGATATGGGACACAGTGACATTAGGCAGATGGTTCTGAGCGCTCAGCTCTGTTTACATTACTCTCACTGTTCAAGCAAAAACAGCCCAGCGAGAAGAGAGAAACCTGCTGTGTGCGTGCGTGTGGTGTATGTTTACTTAAGTGGTCTGTAGAGAGAGTACTGTGTGCATATTTGTGAGGGAAAATTGACATTGCCTTCTTGTCTTCTTGCCTGTCTTCTTGTCTGTGACGGAGTGTTGTCTGTGTGTATAGTTGTACTGTACGGTATATGAGTAGGCTCACAATTGCTTGCTTTTCTCAAGAGGGAGAGGGCCTGCAGGTTGACATGGTACACACATTCAGGTCCTGTGTTTACACAATAGACACACACCTACTCTTCAGGAGCTCCACTCAGCACTATCTACCTGTAGTGGGCCTACAGCTGTCCCAGAACATAGTCACTGTGTACACACACACACACAGTAGGGCCCTTATAGTGTCCATGCCACAGTACAGTTGGAGGCATACTCCTATTGTCCACTAATAATGTTATGTCCCCTCTATTACATAGTGATTATGAGGACCCTCTAAAACAATAATACTTGTTGTATCTAAGGAGGTATAGTCCATATTTCCCTCAGAGTGACATACTGAGGGCAGCCAGCCACTCTGTAGACAGAGAACCTAATCCTTGGTTATCAAAATGGAGTTACGTAAGCCAGTAGTCCCTGATCTAGAAAGGGAAAAGAACAACAGCAGCAGCCATGACAAAACAACACAGGATAGATTAAAATGCATTTATTACACAATAAACCTCCAAAAAAGGCTTAGAGAGTATGAACAGGCTCAATCAATGAATTTCCAAATTACTCAATGAATACACAGCGGAATAAAAGACTGACTGACTCACTCAGTGATGACCTGAGATGCCAGAAGTCTTTGCTGCTCTACATAGGGTTCTGACAGTCATGGAATTTTGGATGACGGTTATTGGTCGTTTGAATAGCAAAAAGAAACACACCAAAAAAGAACATTTTCTCCTCTCCTCCTCCTGACTGCAAGTGCTGCTGCTGCAGGGAGGGGGCGTTGCCTAGGCAACCAAAGACTCGTTTTCTACAACATCTTGCTTGTTTCACCAAGGAGCAACAAAGTTTTATCAGGTTGTAAAGAGTCCATGTTACTGCGGAAACGGACTCAACTGCATGAATGCTCAGCTGTCCGTCTTCAGTCAGCTGTTTGTTCCACACAAAAAAACTAAAGCAAATATATATATTTTTTACAGTTACAGTGGTTATTTTATTTTCATGACAGTCTTTATCTATAATCGTCAGTTACACAATTATTTGGTAATTGTGCCAGCCTTAGTTCTACAGTCTATACTTTTACATTACAGAATCTGGTACAACTTAGTTCCTCACAGCAAGAGAATGTTCCAATGAATTCGCAGTTAAGTTTTGTTTTCAATCAGTACACACTGTTTTGTTCAGAGTTGTATAATACTTAAGTAAAAATACTTTAAAGTACTACTTAAGTAGTTTTCTTTTATATCTGTACTTTTACTTTGCTATTTATATTTTCGACAACTTTAACTTTTACTCCACTACATTCCTAAAGAAAATAATGTACTTTTTACTCCATACATTTTCCCTTATACCCAAAAGTACTCGTTACATTTTAAATACTTAACAGGACAGGAAAATGGTTCAATTCACACACTTATCAAGAGAACATCCCTGGTCATCCCTACTGCCTCTGATCTGGCAGACTCACTAAACACAAATGCTACGTTTGTAAATTATGTATGAGTGTTGGAGTGTGCCCCTGGCTAGCCGTAAATTAAAAAAACAAGATTGTGTCGTCTGGTTTGCTTAATATAAGTAATGTGAAATGATTTATACTTTTACTTTTGATACTTAAGTACATTTTAGCAATTCCATTTACTTGTAATACTTAAGTATATTTCAAACCAAATACTTTTAGACTTTTACTCAAGTAGTATTTTACTGGGTGACTTTCACTTTTACTTGAGTCATTTTCTATTAAGGTATCTTTACTTTTACTCAAGTATGACAATTGAGTACTTTTTCCACCACTTTTTCCACCACAATGTCAGACACCTCTCTGCGAGGCACAGAACAGTAGGCTAAGTTATGAGGGGAAAAGGGACCAAATTATTAGGGTGAGGCATATGGGCTACTAACAGCTTACTACACAACATACACTTAGTATTACTTTCTTAGTTACAGTATACATATCTCACCGGCATATTACATCATTTATGCAGCAGCATACAAGATATCTTTGGACTCACCTTGTTATGCTGTGGTCACTTGAAAAGGAAGGTTGCGCGACTCCTTCATGGGTAGATTTTGTAATCAAACTTTGTCATCAAAGTCTGTCATTCTCTGGATTTATGGTGCTTTCAAGACAACTGGGAACTCGTAAAAAACAAGGTTGAATCATGATGACGTCAGTGATCTTCAGGTTGGAGCTCTAGAAAGAGGCCCGAGTTCCCGACTTGCAATTCCGAGTTGGATGACCATTCAAAATGTGTTTTCCTAGTCGGAGCTCGTTTTTTTCAGAGTTCCCAGTTGTCTTGAACACTGAAGTCTGCGATTTCCCAGTTCTGAGTTTCCAGTTATTTTGAGCGCGGAAGAAGTCATACTGGATTGACAGCATGGCCAATGTTGAATGTTTATCCTTTTAAGCTTGGAAAATAGAACCTTAAACCCAGACTTGGACCACACTCCCACTCCACTGAATAGCAGGCTAGTGATTGCTTTGCAATGCTTGCAGTTAACCACTGATTCCTTCCAAACCACTCATTGTTGAATTTGCGATTTCCAACTTGTTGTGTAATATTTATGTCCAATGGCCGGTGAATACCGATACGTTTAATCTATAATTTCTCTTCATTATTTCTCTTCATATGACAAGGATTGAAAAGGATTTGCCAGTAGATTGTCGACTTGATTCATGATGATGACTGCTAGCTTGCTAGCTAAGATTTTGAAAGTACGATGTTGACATGATCAGTCCAATCAAAGCTACGGTAGATATAACATGATTTGACGTCATTTTATCTGTGGCCAATGACCTTGAGCCTTTTTGGATGGGCATTTCTAATGTAACTCCATGGCAGCTTGAATTTTCGAACTCTACCCATAGATTTTGCGGTGACGTGGTGTCCCCATGAGTGACAGAACACTGACCCAATCATGGCGCAACTAGAAAACATGACCAACCCCTACGCTCCGTATTTTCCGCTGGCTGCCCCACCACCACAGAAAGCACTGAGCTAGGTTGAAACACCTGCATTTTGGAGCTGCCTTACTCCAGAAAGTAAAAAAGAGACCAAATTTGTATGCGGCTTTATTAACTCAATGATTATTTCTTTATTTTTTTACATTGTTTGCAAACTGATATGTGACACATATTAATGTCAAAATAACATGCAAAACAGGCACAAAATAAATATATATACACTACCTGTCAAAAGTTTGGACACACCTACTCATTCAAGGTTTTTTCTTTACTTTTACTATTTTTTACATTGTAGAATAATAGTGAAGACATCAAAACTATGAAATAACACATATGGAATCATGTAGTAACCAAAGAAGTGTTAAACAAATCAAAATATATGTTATATTTGAGATTCTTCAAATAGCCACCCTTTGCCTTGATGACAGCGTTGCACACTCTTGGCATTCTCTCAACCAGAGATAGTCACCTGGAATGCATTTCAATTAACAGGTGTGCCTTCTTAAATGTTAATTTGTGGAATTTCTTTCCTTCTTAATGCATTTGAGCCAATCAGTTGTGTTGTGACAAGGTAGGGGAAGTATACAGAAGATAGCCCTATTTGGTAAAAGACCAAGTCCATATTATGTCAAGAACAGCTCAAATAAGCAAAGAGAAACGACAGTCCATCATTAATTTAAGACATGAAGGTCAGTCAATACAGAACATTTCAAGAACTTTGAAAGTTTCTTCAAGTGCAGTCGCAAAAACCATCAAGCGCAATGATGAAACTGGCTCTCATGTGGACTGCCACAGGAATGGAAGACCCAGAGTTATCTCTGCTGCAGAGGATACGTTCATTAGAGTTACCAGCCTCAGAAATTGCAGCCCAAATAAATGCTTCACAGAGTTCAAGTCACAGACACATCTCAACATCAACTGTTCAGAGGGGACTGTGCGAATCAGGCCTTCATGGTTGAATTGCTGCAAAGAAACCACTACTAAAGGACACCAATAAGAAGAAGAGACCAGCTTGGGCCAAGAAACATGAGCAATGGACATTAGACCGGTGGAAATGTGTCCTTTGGTCTGGAGTCCAAATTTGAGATTTTTGGTTCCAACCGCTGTGTCTTTGTGAGACTCGGTGTGGGTGAACGGATGATCTCCGCATGTGTAGTTCCCACCGTAAAGCATGGAGGAGGAGGTGTTATGGTGTGGGGGTGCTTTGCTGGTGACACTGTCTGTGATTTATTTAGAATTCAAGGCACACTTAACCAGCGTGGCTACCACAGCATTCTGCAGCGATACGCCATCCCATCTGGTTTGGGCTTAGTGGGACTATCATTTGTTTTTCAACAGGACAATGACCCAACACATCTCCAGGCTGTGTAAGGACAATTTTTCTCACATATTAGTGTTATTTAACACTGTAAATGAAAAGGAATTAGTTGTTTTCGGTGGATTTTTCCATCGTGGCATAAACAAGAATTTCCGCTTATATGGACAGACTGAAACATAACTGCTTATAACTTTGGAAATATGATGAGTATATGCATAACCATAGTATCACAAGAAAGGAAATACCTGACTGGAAGAATATGGTGTAGGCTAATGCTCAGAACATACTGTAGTAGGTAGGAATTACAAAGTTCAAATCACTAAAGTGCCCTTGCACCGTCCAACCACCCACTAGCCCTTCACACCTAGTCCAGGCCTTGCTCCACCAAGCTGAGCTCCAGGGGGTATACTCCCCCTGAACTCCTCTCCTCTCCCTTGTACTCCCTGAACCCCACCACATCTCACCCTGCTCTCCCTTTGCTTTTCCCAGCCATCAGCACCCTGGGAAGCCATATGAAGATGAGAGTGAGTTAATAGAACCTCCAGAGGGTTTATTTATCATTTCTGCTCCTTTATGATGGATTTAGCTCACCGGTCATTTACTTTAGCAGGATGTCTGTGCTCTGGCCCCAGTGTCTATAAACATTGTCTTTTAAGGCCAGAAGATATCCTTTCAATATGTCAGTCCCACCGGGGAGAGAATTGCGCTTAGAAGGAGAGAGAAAGTGAGAATGTATTTGGAGAGAAGAGACAGCTGGGAGAAGAGTAAGACGCACAGCAAAAGTTACCTCTTATACTTAACATCATCTGACACTGATCGCACCATCTGAGTCATTTAGCAGTGTCATATCCAATATACTTAGCTAATAATCTGTCAAGAACCCCTATCTAGTTGCCATTAGAAATCAACCATGCACTGCCCAAGCCTAACATCTCACACATTATACGATCTATGATCAAATGGGTTTTACTTGGGGAATGCTCGCTTTGACCTAATCTCAGAACCCAGAACCAAATGTTACGCACGCTATAGCTAGCTAACTGTTCTGTTAATGTCTTTCACCAGAGATGTGTGACCTAAAACTGAGAGGGAGGACAGGGTCTATTTGGGGTGCTTATTCGTGGAAGCACATGTAAGGGGCTTTTCCTTTCTTTCTTTTTCTGTTCCCAGCAAGGACACATACAGTATAGTAGTACTACAGCAGGCTATCTCACGCCCACCCCTCTTCCCCACATCCTCCTCTCCTTCTTCCCCCTTTACAATACTCACCCAACACCCAACACTGATGAACCAATCACAGCTGGGTGCTAGGAGCTGGGAGTGTGTGTGTGTGTGTGTGAGAGTGTGTGTGTGTGTGTGTGTGTGTGTGTGTGTGTGTGTGTGTGTGTGTGTGTGTGTGTGTGTGTGTGTGCGTGCGTGCGTGCGTGCGTGCGTGCGTGCGTGCGTGCGTGCGTGCGTGCGTGCGTGTGTGCGACTGTGCATGCATGTTTGTATGAAACCAGCAACCAGTGAAATCAGTTGACACTTGAGTTTGCACCTTTGAGCATTCCCCCTCACATCCATTTCACTTTCTGTGACCGTGAGCATGCAATTGTCTCCATGTTTGATGTCGTTGTTCAGTCCATTCATAAGCTCCTCCTGTGCTCTTACACAGACAGAGATACACAACATTCAAATCAAAGGCCAAGGAAAAATAGAAATACTGTATAGTTGACATTATCCGGGAAAAAAGTATTTCGTCATTAATTTAGGTGTAACAGATAATATGCCTTGATGATGATGATTATACTAATGATGATGATGTTTTTTTCATCAATATTCCTCTGTCCTCTCCCACTCTTTAACCCTGGGGCTAAAGGGTTGTGGTTAGCATTAGCCCTTGATGGGGCGAAGGCCAGTGCCTCACACCCTGAAAGACTGTGACCTGTCAGAGACGCTATCACCACACAGAGTTCACTTAGCAGGCATCACCCACCTTCCACAGGCTCCCTCCAAAGACCTGCCATCCCCTGCCCAGGAGGGGTCACTGAGGATACAGACCTGGACCTAGAGAGGGAGGGTGGAGGGTACTACAGACCTGGACCTAGAGAGGGAGGGTGGAGGGGTCTCAGGCTAGCAGCTAGCTATCACCGTTTGGGACCACTATCACTGACGTGCACTCACTGTTTGTTCACTGTAACCAGAACCAGATCTATTTGGAAACAACCAGGCTGCCTTCTACATGGAGAACAGTAATATCATGGCTCTACAGTAGGAATTATATTACTATTGTGGTCATTTCAAGACATGGAGTAAGACATGTAGCACTAGCTGGGAAAAGTCATTTAGTGGAAAATAACAGTACAGGAAGTGGAGAGGAGGAGAGCCGCAGTGAATTTATAAGTCCATTTTCCCAGTGGGAGCAGTGACAGATGGGATATTGTTGTTGAAATGGGGCCAGGGAGAGAGCAGTCGGAGCGCTATGGCCTTTGTGAAGCATCTGGAAGTCCTTCAAACATCTGTGTTAGATCAGTCTATAAAACGCACTCTCGCACCCAAAAAGAGTGAACTAGTAACAAATCACTAACAGAAGATGCATCATTCTTTCTGAGCTGTGCCTCGTGTCTCCCTGTGTGTGTGTGTGTGTTTGTGCATACGTGCGTGCGTGCGTGAGTCTGCCTGTGATTGTCTCTCTTTTTCTTTAGCTATCTCTCTGTTTTTCTGTCGCATTTTCTTTATTTCCCCTTCTTTTTGGTTTCTCATTGGCTCCCTTTTTCTCTCCCTCACTCAGTACCAGTCTCTTCCTTTCCATTCCTCCCTCCCTCTGTTGTGCATCTGCTGGGTTTGTGTACTCAGCCTGAGCTCCATGTCTACACAGCTCTCTCCCTGCCCCTATCTGAAATGACCAGAGGTGTATGGACAAATAGAGAGAGGGAGGCCCCGCCTATTCCAGTTCTTTAAGCCTCCATGTCTTCTGTATACTACTGTCAAAGGGTGCTGACTAACTACTGTCAAAGGGTGCTGACTGACTAACTACTGTCTATGGGTGCTGACTAACTACTGTCAAAGGGTGCTGACTGACTAACTACTGTCAAAGGGTGCTGACTGACTAACTACTGTCAAAGGGTGCTGACTGACTAACTACTGTCAAAGGGTGCTGACTGACTAACTACTTGACTAACTACTGTCAAAGGGTGCTGACTGACTAACTACTGTCAAAGGGTGCTGACTGACTAACTACTGTCAAAGGGTGCTGACTGACTAACTACTGTCAAAGGGTGCTGACTGACTAACTACTGTCTATGGGTGCTGACTGACTAACTACTGTCTATGGGTGCTGACTAACTACTGTCAAAGGGTGCTGACTGACTAACTACTGTCAAAGGGTGCTGACTGACTAACTACTGTCAAAGGGTGCTGACTGACTAACTACTGTCTATGGGTGCTGACTGACTAACTACTGTCTATGGGTGCTGACTGACTAACTACTGTCTATGGGTGCTGACTGACTAACTACTGTCAAAGGGTGCTGACTGACTAACTACTGTCAAAGGGTGCTGACTGACTAACTACTGTCTATGGGTGCTGACTGACTAACTACTGTCTATGGGTGCTGACTGACTAACTACTGTCAATGGGTGCTGTCTGACTAACTACTGTCTATGGGTGCTGACTGACTAACTACTGTCTATGGGTGCTGACTGACTAACTACTGTCTATGGGTGCTGACTGACTAACTACTGTCTATGGGTGCTGACTGACTAACTACTGTCTATGGGTGCTGACTGACTAACTACTGTCTATGGGTGCTGACTAACTACTGTCAAAGGGTGCTGACTGACTAACTACTGTCAAAGGGTGCTGACTGACTAACTACTGTCAAAGGGTGCTGACTGACTAACTACTGTCTATGGGTGCTGACTGACTAACTACTGTCTATGGGTGCTGACTGACTAACTACTGTCTATGGGTGCTGACTGACTAACTACTGTCAAAGGGTGCTGACTGACTAACTACTGTCAAAGGGTGCTGACTGACTAACTACTGTCTATGGGTGCTGACTGACTAACTACTGTCTATGGGTGCTGACTGACTAACTACTGTCAATGGGTGCTGTCTGACTAACTACTGTCTATGGGTGCTGACTGACTAACTACTGTCTATGGGTGCTGACTGACTAACTACTGTCTATGGGTGCTGACTGACTAACTACTGTCTATAAGTGCTGACTGACTAACTACTGTATATGGGTGCTGACTGACTAACTACTGTCTATGGGTGCTGACTGACTAACTGCTGTCTATGGGTGCTGACTGACTAACTACTGTCTATGGGTGCTGACTGACTAACTACTGTCTATGGGTGCTGACTGACTAACTACTGTCTATGGGTGCTGACTGACTAACTACTGTCTATAAGTGCTGACTGACTAACTACTGTATATGGGTGCTGACTGACTAACTACTGTCTATGGGTGCTGACTGACTAACTGCTGTCTATGGGTGCTGACTGACTAACTACTGTCTATGGGTGCTGACTGACTAACTACTGTCTATGGGTGCTGACTGACTAACTACTGTCTATGGGTGCTGACTAACTAACTACTGTCTATGGGTGCTGACTGACTAACTACTGTATATGGGTGCTGACTAACTAACTGCTGTCTATGGGTGCTGACTGACTAACTACTGTTTAACTACCCCTTTCTCTCACAAACTCTCAGCATCATAATTCAGAATCTGTGCCATCAAAGAGGTCTGTTTAACAGAGTTCCACACAGACAGGATCATAGAATAATAACACCCAAACAAAACCCCAGCCAAACCATTATCAGAGCGAGGCGATCGGGTTATAGAATGACAGCCTCCTTTTTATTGTATTTTAATGTTTATATTGGCTCATCCTCCACCACATATACATTTTACACACATGTTTCATATATGTTACTTTTATACACAGTAGTTACATAAAAAATATATAGTTTTTTTGATTATACACATTACATTTTGGATACATAGTAGTCAGACATCTTTATAGTGTTTTCAGTAATAACTATTACCGATCATTCGTTTTTTAATCCCACCCCTCTGCTACTCTCAGCCCATCCCACCTACAATACATGTGCAAAAGTATGTGGACATCCCTTCAAGTTAGTGGATTCAGCTATTTCAGCCACACCCGTTGCTGACAGGTGTATAAAATCAAGCACACCGCCATGCAATCTCCATAGACAAACACTGGCAGTAGAATGAAGAGCTCAGTGACTTTCAATGTGGCACCTTCATAAGATACCACCTTTCCAACAAGTCAGTTCGTCAAATTTCTGCCCTGCTAGAGCTGCCCGGGTCAACTGTAAGTGCTGTTATTGTGAAGTCAAAACGTCTAGGAGCAACAACGGCTCAGCCACGAAGTGGTAGGCCACACAAGCTCACAGAACGAGTGCTGAAGAGCGTAGTGCGTAAAAGTCGTCTGTGCTCGGTTGCAACACTCACTACCGAGTTCCAAACTGCCTCTGGAAGCAACGTCAGCACAATAACTGTTCGTCGGGAGCTCACTAATGCTCTTGTGGCTGAAGTCCCCACAGCAATGTTCCAACATCTAGTGGAAAGCCTTCCCAGAAGAGTGAGGCTGTTATAACAGCAAACATGATTTTGGAATGAGATGTTAAACGAGCAGGAGTCAACATACTTTTGGCCACATAGTGTATCTCTGTAGACCATCTTCTTTTGATTTCCACGTGCCATATATTCTCCAACTGTGCTATGATGTCTTACATTAATTTTTTTACCTTTCTAGTCTCATAGTATCCACAGATTGTAAGTTAAACATTAATATTTTCCCCATAGTATTATATTGTTGATTGATTGACTATGACTTTCCAAATCACCCAACAGTACTATTTGTAGGGTTAATTTTAAATGAATGTTGTGATTTTTCAGCCATTCCTGAACCTGTGACCAGAATCAAGCTACATGGGGACATTTACATTTTTACATTTTGGTCATTTAGCAGACGCTCTTATCCAGAGCAACTTACAGTTAGTGAGTGCATACATTATTTTTTTATTTTTCATACTGGCCCCCCGTGGGAATCGAACCCACAACCCTGGCGTTGCAAACGCCATGCTCTACCAACTGAGCTACATCCCTGCCATTCCCTCCCCTACCCTGGACGAATTGTGCGCCGCCCCATGGGTCTCCCGGTCGCAGCCAGCTACGACAGAGCCTGGATTCGACCCAGGATCTCTAGTGGCACAGCTAGCACTGCGATGCAGTGCCTTAGACCACTGCGCCACTCGGGAGACGAATACCAGAATAAATTATCTAATGATTCTGTTTCTTCGCAGCAAAATCTGCATATCTGAGATTGTTGTATGCCCCATACTGTATATTTAACATTCTGTTGTTGGCAATAATTTTTTATAATAATTTAAATGGTAAAACTCAAAATGTTGAATCAAGCGTTGTTTTGTGTATCAGTTCATAAACCATGTGCCATGGAATCAGTACATCGAAAATCTCTTCCCAACTATTTTGCAACCTGTATGGTGCAGCTGCCAAAGTGTTTGTCCACAAATGAAAGTAGTGTATTATTCTATTTATGCCAATCTTTTTCAGCCAATTTTGGTCTTTATTATAAGTTCCCTACATTCTCCCCCTTCCACTTGCCTCCTCCATTTTTGTGGTAATGCTGCAGTTGGTTATAACTTTGGATTGAGCAAACGTTCCCATTTATTTTCGATAGCTGCATGTGTGACATAACTCCACCATTCCTATTCATAATATCATTAATAAAATATAATAAAACAATTTATATATATTTTTATCAATCAATTTGAGTTTAACCATAATATTTGTTGTAATATTTGTTCCGTTTTTTCTGGAGGATAACATTTAAATTGTAACCAGCATTGTATGCCTTGTTTAAGAAAGGGCGATACTTGAAAAAGGTTTGATTTTCAACTAACCGAAAATGAGAAGTTGTAATCTGTATAAAGGCAACAAAGGATGAACGATGGATGAGCCTTCCTTAGTCATCTACTGGAGAACCAGTTCAGGTTTAAGTATAACTTATGTATTAGTGAAGATTTTAATGAGACGTTTAATGCTTTATTATTTAATAATTTCAGCCCCCCAAACTCATATTCATTATATAAATAGGCACGTTTAATATTGTCTGGCTTAGCGTTCCAAATAAAGTGCAATATTTTTTGCTCCTTGATTTTTTTTAAACGAGTCGTCTGGAGTAGGCAGCGTCATAAGTAAATTGAGTAAGCTGTAATATACCTAAAGAGTTAATCAGTGTGATTTTTTTAACAGCCTCCTCTTCCCTCCCCCACACTAGGCCTGAAAACACAGTGAGCTTTTACAATGCCCCGGAAGCATCCAAAACGTGCAGCGTCACAGACCCCTCAGCTAGCTGACCACAGATAAGCTTCTCTGAACCAGACGGACGATGGCAAAAAACAACACACTGTGTGTCCTTCTCCCTCCCACATATTGCCCACAGTCTCCACTCAAGTGCCTTCTCTCCCAGCCATAGTCCATTCTACATTTGGACTGTGCCACGTCCACACCAGAGGGGAGAACAAAGGCCTCTACGCAGCCCAACAGCTCAGCAACAGAGCACAGCTTGTATACAGCACAATGTACTATGCCTATGGTCATGCCTGTGGATGGCAGCGGAATCTAGCCGCCATTTTGTAATTTGTGTTAGAGAACAAAGCTGAGTCCTAGAACAACGGTCAGTGCTATATATACACACACACAGAACACAACCCCTGGTTTCTGTTGGTTGACGGTCAGTGCTATACACTACCCTAACCTTAACCCCTACCCTAACCATAACCATAACCATCACCCTTGCCTAACCCTAACCTTAACCCTTACCTTAACCATTTTAAATTACTACTTCAATGGGGTAGGGATGTCACAAGGAACCCGGATAGCACGGACCCTAGAACAACCCAACCACTAACATAAACCATTACCTTGGCCTTAACCCCAACTCCTCATTCTGCTGTCCGGATGTAAAACAATTGTCACAAAACTAAGAGGTCCCTCAACATGAATGATACAGGCTCAGAATCATGGTACGGGCTCAGAATCATGGTACGGGCTCAGAATCATGGTACGGGCTCAGAATACGCCTACATGGTTTCCTTTTCCACTATCTGATGGATAGAGGAGAAAAAGTATAGTATGATCTGATTTAAAATGTGCTAAAATGCAACAGCAACTCAACTGTATATATACCAACACAGCCTACTGGGTCTTGACTACTTGAGCCATAGTTGTTTCCGTGGCAACCGCTGGACTGAACTGAACACAAGCACTGAGGGAGACATCATTGGTTAGCAGTGGTGCTGCTTTTTTTTGTCCTAGTCATTCTCAGAAGTGATGCTAAAATGATGATTCCTTTCTTATGTTGCTCATTGGTCCTTACTTCTCTAGGGGGCCTGTTACAAAGATCATAGAAAACCTTGCTGCTTCACAAGAAACAAAACAACAACCTTCATGAACAGCAAATACTGAATATCAAATGTGTGAACTGTGTAAAGTGTGAACATGTGTCAAGTGTGAACATGCAGACTGCAGACATGAGTAAAAACCCTGTATGTCTGCGTTTATGTATAGGTCAGTGTGTAATATCTCTTGTAAAAACCCTTGTGATCCCGTCTGTCAGAAGACGTCCTGGTAGGAAGGAGAATCTCAGCATGACAGGTAGCCTCGTTAAAATGCTGCTGCGGCGTTAAATCCACAAATAATTTATCAGTGAGGCAGTGGAAGCCTGCATGGGGAGAATATCAGATTCTCCTCCTACTCCTCCTCCTCCTCCTCCTCCTCCTCCTCATCCTCCTCCTCCTCCTCCTCCTCCTCCATGAGGTATCTTATTCTACACTTACAAACCTGAATGGCTGGTTAGGGGTTAACACCTCTTGTGACCGGTTCTACACTGCTGAATAGGATGCCATGGGTTAGGATGCCATGGGTTAGGATGCCATGGGTTAGGATGCCATGGGTTAAATAGTGTTTCCTTTAGTGTTTTCCTTGTCTAGGTGGGGTTCTTCACCTATAGCTTCACCGCCAAGGCCGAAGATCATACATGTAGGCCTGCCGCTCAAGACACTTATCTCCCTCACTATCTTTAAGCATCAGTTGTCAGAGCAGCTTACTGATCACTGCACCTGTACACAGCCCATCTGTAATTAGCCCACCCAACTACCTCATCCCCATATTGTTATTTACATTGTTATTTATTTTCTCATTTGCACCCCAGTATCTCTATTTGCACATCATCTTCTGCACATCTATCACTCCAGTGTTAATACTAAATTATAATTGTAATTATTTTGCACTATGGCCTATTTATTGCCTTACCTCCATAACTTACTACATTTGCACACACTGTATATAGATTTTCTATTGTGTTATTGACTGTACGTTTCGTTTATTCCATACGTAACTCTGTGTTGTTGTTGTTTTTGACCTCACTGCTTTGCTTTATCTTGGCCAGGTCGCAGTTGTAAATGAGAACTTGTTCTCAACTGGCTTACCTGGTTTAATAAAGGTGAAAAAAAATCAAAAATCAAAAAGCTTAATATGGGAATATTCAACAGAATTTGTGGGTCACATATTATGAAAGACCTACAACACACTGTATTATTCAATATCCATACAAAAACAATGACCCTTGCGCCATAAACACAGTTGTTTACCCAGGAAAGAGCTATAAATACTCAGTCATTTTCAACTTATTTAGTCTAATAAAATAAATAATTTTTTTAACCGTGTTGTGAGAAGGAGACAAACATGCTATTGAAACGTATTGACTGTCCCCTGACTCAGAGTCCCACAGCATGGCTCGATGTTCTGTCCGTCCATCTGTCCGTCCGTCCATCCGTCCATCTAATGGGCTTTCAGGAACTCTGCGGTGGTTGGGGATCAAAGGGGAGAAAATATCTATCCCACAATGCATTATGTTCGGTGTCATGAAGTGCCACGGAAAAAATTACCAGTGTGTTTGACTTTGTGTGTGGATGTGTAGTACCTGTGTGTGTGTGTTTGTGTGTATGTGTGTGTGTGTGTGTGTGTGTGTGTGTGTGTGTGTGTGTGTGTGTGTGTGTGTGTGTGTGTGTGTGTGTGTGTGTGTGTGTGTGTGTGTGTGTGTGTGTGTGTGTGTGTGTGTGTTTGTGTGTGTGTGTGTGTGTGTGCGTGTGTGCACGTGCATATGTGTGTGCATAAGCGTTAGTGATTGGGGAAGAAATCTATACAGATACATATTGATATATTATTTTTGACTATATATTGTATCGTTTTGACAATATCGCAATATTATTTTTTGCACTAGTTGGCTGTACCTGCACCAGTATTTTTCCTTCATAGCTTGTTCTCCATCTTCTTTTTAAATAGGAAGCCAATTTGTTTTCAGGACTTTTATTTCCACGACTGATCAACACTAGTTTTCTCATGCTCTCTCTTGTCCCTCTGCAGCAGACACATGGTGTGTAATATGTTTGGAACATTGAATCACAATAAAATCACAGTATCGAATCGCAATACATATAAAATCGTGATAATCATGATAATCGCAATACATATCGTATCGGCACCTAAGTATCGTGATAATATCGTATCGTGAGGTCCCTGGAAATTCCCAGCCCTAATAAGTGTCACAGAAGAAATTACCAGTGTGTTGTGTGTGTGCGTGCAAACAGTGGCTTGCGAAAGTATTCACCCCCCTTGGCATTTTTCCTATTTTGTTGCCTTACAACCTGGAATTAAAATGGATTTTTGGGGGGTTTGTATAATTTAATTTACACAACATGCCTACCACTTTGAAGATGCAAAATATAAGACAAAAAAACAGAAATCTTGAGCGTGCTTAACTATTCACCCCCCCCAAAGTCAATACTTTGTAGAGCCACCTTTTGTAGCAATTACAGCTGCAAGTATCTTGGGGTATGTCTAAGCTTGGCACATCTACCACTGGGATTTTTGCCCATTCTTCAAGGCAAAACTGCTCCAGCTCCTTCAAGTTGGATGGGTTCCGCTGGTGTACAGCAATCCTTAAGTAATACCACAGTTTCTCAATTGGATTGAGGTCTGGGCTTTGACTAGGCCATTCCAAGACATTTAAATGTTTCCCCTTAAACCACTCGAGTGTTGCTTTAGCAGTATGCTTAGGGTCATTGTCCTGCTGGAAGGTGAACCTCCGTCTCAGTCTCAAATCTCTGGAAGACTGAAACAGGTTTCCCTCAAGAATTTCCCTGTATTTAGTGCCATCCATCATTCCTTCAATTCTGACCAGCTACCCAGTCCCTGCCGATGAAAAACATCCCCACAGCATGATGCTGCCACCACCACGCTTCACTGTGGGGATGGTGTTCTTGGGGTGATGAGAGGTGTTGGGTTTGCGCCAGACAAAGCATTTTCCTTTATGGCCAAAAAGCTCAATTTTAGTCTCATCTGACCAGAGTACCCTCTTCCAAATGTTTGGGGAGTCTCCCACATGCCTTTTGGTGAACACCAAACGTGTTTGCTTATTTTTTTCTTAAAGCAATGGCTTTTTTCTGGCCACTCTTCCGTAAAGCCCAGCTCTGTGGAGTGTACGGCTTAAAGTGGTCCTATGGACAGATACTCCAATCTCCGCTGTGGAGCTTTGCAGCTCCTTCAGGGTTATCTTTGGTCTCTTTGTTGCCTGTCTGATTAATGCCCTCCTTGCCTGGTCCGTGAGTTTTGGTTGGCGGCCCTCTCTTGGCAGGTTTGTTGTGGTGCCATATTCTTTCAATTTTTTAATAATGTATTTAATGGTGCTCCGTGGGATGTTCAAAGTTTCAGATATTTTTTTATAACCCAACCCTGATCTGTACTTCTCCACAACTTTGTCCCTGACCTGTTTGGAGAGCTCCTTGGTCTTCATGGTGCCGCTTGCTTGGTGGTGCCCCTTGCTTAGTGGTGTTGCAGACTCTGGGGACTTTCAGAACAGGTGTATATATACTGAGATTATGTGACACTACCTGGCGCCGACGAAGATGGCGGCCTCGCGACTAGCTCTTAGGAAACTTTGCAGTATATTGTTTTTTTATGTATTATTATTTACATTATTAGCTCAGAAAGTGTTTTGCATCATTACATACAGCCAGGAAAAACTATTGGATATCAGAGCGGCAGTAACTCACCAGCATTACGACCAGGAATACGACTTTCCCGAAGCAGATCTTTTGTTTGCTCTCCCCAGGGCAACTGAACCGATTCCAGCGGCTGACCCAAAACATCACCGGCGGAGGAGATGCACTCGGAGTGGCCTGCTGGTCCGACTTAGGAGACGCGCACACCACCCACCGCTTCCAAGTATTCTATTCGCTAATGTTCAATCTTTGGTTAACAAAGTCGACGAACTACGGGCAAGGATTTCTTTCCAGAGAGACATCAAGGCCTGTAACATACTCTGTTTCACGGAAACATGGCTCTCTTGGGATATTATGTCGGAATCGGTCCAGTCAGATGGGTTCTCAGTTCATCGCGCAGACAGGAATAAATATCTCTCCGGGAAGCAGAAGGGCGGAGGTGTGTGTTTCATGATTAACGACTTGTGATGTAATTGTAGTAACATAGAGGAACTCGAGTCCTTCTGTTCACCCGACCTAAAATATCTCACAATCAAATGCCGACCGTATTATCTCCCAAGATCATTTTCTTCGGTTATAGTCACGGCCGTGTATATCCCCCCTCAAGCCGATACCACGATGGCCCTCAAAGAACTTCACTGGACCTTATGCAAACTGGAAACCACATATCCTGAGGCTGCATTTATTGTAGCCGGGGATTTTAACAAAGCAAATTTGAGGACTAGGCTGCCAAAGTTCTATCAACATATCGACTGTTGTACTCGCGCTGCTAAAATCCTCGACCATTGCTATTCAAACTTCCGGGATGGTTATAAGGCCCTCCCCCGCCCTCCTTTCGGCAAATCTGACCACGACTTCATTTTGCTTCTCCCTTCCTATCAGCAGAAACTCAAACAGGAAGTACCCGTGCTAAGGACTATTCAACGCTGGTCTGACCAATCGGAATCCACGCTTCAAGATTGTTTTGATCACGCGGACTGGGATATGTTCCGGTTAGCTTCCGAAAATAATTTAGACATATACACTGAAACAGTGACTGAGTTCATCAGGAAGTGTATAGGTGATGTTGTGCCCACTGTGACTATTAAAACCTACCCTAATCAGAAACCGTGGATAGACGGCAGCATTCGCGCAAATCTGAAAGCGCGAACCACCGCATTCAACCATGGCAAGGTGACTGGGAATATGGCAGAATACAAACAGTGTAGTTACTCACTCCGCAAGGCAATTAAACTGGCAAAACATCAGTATAGAGACAAAGTGGAGTCGCAATTCAACGGCTCAGACACAAGACGTATGTGGCAGGGTCTACAGACAATCACGGACTACAATAAGAAAACCAGCCACGTCGCCGACACCGACGTATCGCTTCCAGACAAGCTAAACACCTTCTTCGCCCGCTTTGAGGATAACACAGTGCCACTGACGAGGCCCACTACCAAGGACTGTGGCCTCTCCTTCTCCATGGCCGACGTGATTAAGACATTTAAGCATGTTAACCCCCGCAAGGCTGCCGGCCCAGATGGCATCTTTAGCCGCGTCCTCAGAGCATGCGCAGACCAGCTGGCTGGTGTGTTCATTGACATATTCAATCTCTCCCTTTCCCAGTCTGCTGTTCCCACATGCTTCAAGAGGGCCACCATTGTTCCTGTACCCAAGAAAGCAAAGGTAACTGAACTAAATTACTATCGCCCTGTAGCACTCACCTCTGTCATCATGAAGTGCTTTGAGAGTCAAGGATCATATCACCTCTACCTTACCTGTCACCCTAGACCCACTTCAATTTGCTTACCGCCCCCAATAGATCCACAGACGATGCAATTGCCATCACACTGCACACTGCCCTATCCCATCTGGACAAGAGGAATACCTATGTAAAAATGCTGTTCATTGACTATAGCTCAGCATTCAACACCATAGTACCCTCCAAGCTCATCATTAAGCTCAAGGCCCTGGGTCTGAACCCCGCCCTGTGCAACTGGGTCCTGGACTTCCTGACGGGCCGCCCCCTGGTGGTGAAGGTAGGAAACAAAATCTCTACTTCGCTGATCCTCAACACTGGGGCCCCACAAGGGTGCGTGCTCAGCCCCCTCCTGTACTCCCTGTTCACCCATGACTGCGCGGCCAAGCACGCCTCCAACTCAATCATCAAGTTTGCAGACGACACAACAGTAGTAGGCTTGATTACCAACAATGACGAGACCGCCTACAGGGAGGAGGTGAGGGCTCTGGGAGTGTGGTGCCAGGAAAATAACCTCTCACTCAACATCAACAAAACAAAGGAGATGATCGTGGACTTCAGGAAACAGCAGAGGGTGCACCCCCCTATCCACATTGACCTGACCGCAGTGGAGAAGGTGGAAAGCTTAAAGTTCCTTGGCGTACACATCACCGACAAACTGAAATGGTCCACCCACGCAGACAGTGTGGTGAAGAAGGCGCAACAGAGCCTCTTCAACCTCAGGAGGCTGAAGAAATTTGGCTTATCACCTAAAACCCTCACAAACTTTTACAGATGCACAATTGAGAGCATCCTGTCGGGCTGTATCACTGCCTGGTACGGCAACTGCACCGCCCGCAACCGCAGAGCTCTCCAGAGGGTGGTGCGGTCTGCCGAACGCATTACCGGGGGCAAACTACCCGCCCTCCAAGACACATACAGCACCCGATGTCATAGGAAGGCCAAAAAGATCATCAAGGACATCAACCACCCGAGCCACTGCCTCTTCACCCCGCTATCATCCAGAAGGCGAGGTCAGTACAGGTGCATCAAAGCTGGGACCGAGAGAATGAAAAACAGCTTCTATCTCAAGGCCATCAGACTGTTAAATAGCCATCACTAGCACATTAGAGGCTGCTGCCTATTGAAATCACTGGCCACTTTAAGAAATGGAACACTAGTCACTTTAATAATGTTTACATATCTTGCACTACTCATCTCATATGTATATACATTTACATTTACATTTCCGTCATTTAGCAGACGCTCTTATCCAGAGCGACTTACAAATAGGTGCATTCACCTTATAGCCAGTGGGATAACCACTTTACAATGTTTTTTTTTTTTTTGGGGGGGGGTGGGGGGGGGGGGGGGGGGGGTTGGAGTAAAGGGGGGGGGGGGGGGTAGAAGGATTACTTTATACTTTATCCTATCCCAGGTATTCCTTAAAGAGGTGGGGTTTCAAATGTCTCCGGAAGGTGGTGAGTGACACCGCTGTCCTGGCGTCGTGAGGGAGCTTGTTCCACCATTGGGGTGCCAGAGCAGCGAACAGTTTTGACTGGGCTGAGCGGGAACTATGCTTCCGCAGAGGTAGGGGAGCCAGCAGGCCAGAGGTGGATGAACGCAGTGCCCTCGTTTGGGTGTAGGGACTGATCAGAGCCTGAAGGTACGGAGGTGCCGTTCCCCTCACTGCTCCGTAGGCAAGCACCATGGACTTGTAGCGGATGCGAGCTTCAACTGGAAGCCAGTGGAGTGTGCGGAGGAGCGGGGTGACGTGAGAGAACTTGGGAAGGTTGAACACCAGACGGGCTGCGGCATTCTGGATGAGTTGTAGGGGTTTAATGGCACAGGCAGGGAGCCCAGCCAACAGCGAGTTGCAGTAATCCAGACGGGAGATGACAAGTGCCTGGATTAGGACCTGTGCCGCTTCCTGTGTAAGGCAGGGTCGTACTCTCCGAATGTTGTAGAGCATGAACCTACAGGATCGGGTCACCGCCTTGATGTTAGCGGAGAACGACAAGGTGTTGTCCAGGGTCACGCCAAGGCTCTTCGCACTCTGGGAGGAGGACACAACGGAGTTGTCAACCGTGATGGGATATACTGCATTCTATTCTATAATATACTTTTGTATCTTAGTCCATGCCGCTCTGTCATTGCTTGTCCATATATGTATATATTCTTAAATCCCATTCCTTACTTTATTGTGTGTATTGGGTATATGTTGTGAAATTGTTAGATATTACTGCACTGTCGGAGCTAGAAGCACAAGCATTTCGCTACACCCGCTATAACATCTGCTAAACACGTGTATGTGACAAATAAAATTTGATTTGATTTTATTTGACTTAGATTGCACACAGGTGGACTTTATTTAACTAATTATGTGACTTCTGAAGGTAATTGGTTGCACCAGATCTTATTTAGGGGCTTCATAGCAAAGGGGGTGAATACATATGCATGCACCACTTTTCCGTTATTTATTCTTTCTCTTTTTCTTTTTTTGTGTATGTCCATTACATGAAATCCAAATTTAAAAAATGCCAAGGGGGATGAATACTTTTGCAAGGCACTGTATGAGTGTGTGGGTACGTGCCAGCCTGCCTGTGTGCGCATGTGTGTGCTTGTGCATGAGGGAGAGTGTGTGTTAGTGTGTGTGACATGGTACACACACACGAATGTGAGTGTAAGTGTGTGTATACAGAGAGGGATAGAGTGAGTGGCTGCTATGACGCAGACTCTGATAAGACTGTTCCATGTGACGCAACACAATGGTTAGCAGAAATGTTAAATACGCAGAACAACAAATGAGCTTGTACTACGTAAGGGGACAAAAATGTCCTTAGTCATTTATAGTTGCACTTTGTGGTGTCTTCCTGTGTTGTCTTTGTCTCTGCTGTTTAATTTGTCTGTGGTGGCCGAACATTGAGAAGAACCAACTTTTCCAATGTTTAGATCTGAATCACACAAATATTACGACAATTTCTCAGTGAGATGGTTACACACACATGTGTGTGTCTGTGTGTGTGTGTGTGTGTGTGTGTGTGTGTGTGTGTGGTTAATTGATTCCAGCTGGGAAAAGAGAAGACATTCAGGATTACAAAGAGAGAGCGAAGGAAAGAGCAGAGAGTATTTTCTAATTGAGTGAGGCTTACTTCCCAAATGTTTAATTTGGTTGTTTACAATAAAAAACTGAGAAGAAGTTTAGGTCTATTTCGCTGGCTTCGACACAAAAATACCCAAACATTAAAAACAGCAGTTTTAGGCTACACTACACACAATACGCTATAATGACTATCCAAGTGACAAAATAAGTGGCATGTACCTAAATGTTATCCATAAGAAATATTTGGTTCCAAACACAGAGTTTAGTACCTATGATGCAGCTAAAGGTATTAGTCTAGCATAGTCTCTCCACAAAGCATTTTTACCTGAACCATGATCTGATCTGGGTGTTAGATCTGTAATCCCCTTTGTTCTGCCAAAGGAAATACAAACAAACAAATGATAATGACGTGCATCTGAGGAGCCCTACAGTGTGAGCAGATCTACTAGGTGCAGGATCTACAGTCTGTGAAGGGTTTGGCCTGGAGACTCTTTGAATCGCCCTTGACCTCTCAGCGAGCAGTAAAGCTATTCCAGGATTTTTCTAAAGCTATGCAATTATTACAATCTTTAAAGACTTATAAGAGTTGCATTGGAATTGCAAATTCACACATGCATCATGCAAACACACATACAGTGTACACACACGTGTGCACACACACAGCATCTACCCACCAAGGCTTTTCAGAGAACACAGCCCTCCATTATTGTAAATGGAAACAATATGTGTACAGTCCCTCAACCCACACAGAAACACACACATACGCACACATTCATATGCACACACACACACACAGTCACACACACACATTAAAAAGGCTACAGCACCAGTGAGTGAAGAAGAGGTCTTATTTCCACACAGACCATGACAGATTAAAGGCCCAAACACATCCTGGTTCTAGAGTTGTAATCCAGCCCAGGGAGACGTGCTCTCAGCAGGGGGCTTGGATCAGTGACAGGTGGAGAGAGGCCAGCGATACATACGAGTGACAGGCAGACAACATACCCTGCATCCTAATTACACTACAATGTCCTTACACTGTGTGCGTGTGTTCGTTCATCATTATCTGTGGCTAACGACGCCAACAGAAACCCAGTGTGGTTAATGAGTTATCAAAGAAAGGGGAAATACTTGCACACAATCGTAAAGAAGTGATGGATGGCACTTTATTACTGTACAGCCCTGTACACACATGGACGATCACAGGAAGGATCTCACCATCGCTCGGCTCTGCTCATTCAATAGGACCCTCATTCATTTTACCACAGCAAGCAAAACACTCTGTGCATTGTGTCATATGCATGATGTGGGGGTCATTGAGAACACCTTTACATTATGCACATGCCCAGTAGCCCAGTTCTCACCATATAGCACCATAGAGATGTTACACAGATGTTGGCAGGCTACCATATTCTTGAGCAGTGATCTTTCCTACAGTGGCTTGATCAATAATAGGCATGAGTCTAGTCAGGAGTGACAGTCCAGTATAGTTCTGTCTCAATGAATGAAAAACAACATGTTGTAAACTATCTCTTATCTCTCTTTCACGGAAACCAAATGGGTTCCCTTTTCCTCTTCCCAAATAACGTCCTTTGGTAAACAATTCTGTTTTCTACAAAATATGTGTATAGACATATAACACCTTCCTAATATTGTACACTCAGTGTATATATCTATATATATATAAAGCCTATAATTCTGACATGAAGTTATTTCATGCACAATTGCCTTGTGAAAATGTGAACCTGTACCAAGGCTGAGCACTCTCTCAGTGGGCAGTTATCAAATCATGTCCTCTTCAATCAACATATAACGACTAATGTTCTACCTTGAAGCCAAAAATTATTCTGTGTCCCCTTATTGTTTTTCCTGGAATGATCGCCCCATTATTCCTCTCCCATACCTTCTCCCAATGGTCATAAACTGTTACACAACAATTACAGTAGTACAGAACGCACCTAGCCTCAGCCTCCATACAGAACCCCCCACCCTTGGAAAAAGTACAAAGTGTCTCTTGTGTGGGAGCACAGAGACCTGAGTGATACTGATTTATATTATCATGGGCCATGGTATTCTCTCTCTGGCAAACACTCACTCACACCCGCATGCGCCATGAGCATGCGCACTTACACGAGTGTGCATGTTAGCACGTGCAAAAACATACACACACGCACGTACACACACACACACACACAAACACGCACGCAGAAACAAACACACACACAGCCGGCCGGCCGAGGCAGTTCATTTAGCCCACTGACCTTCAGCTAGCCCCTGGGTCCTTGGCATGACGCACAAACAACCTACAGTAGGCCACACACACACACGTACATACACAAACACACATATACACACTCGCACACACACACACCTGCACGCACCCACACACACACACACACACACACACACACACACACTCACTGCCTCAACACACTGACAAACACACTGTTACAAAACATTCAGAAATATACTGACAACACAGTGACAAACACACTGTTCCATCCAGTGACCAAAACGTCTTTACATTTTGCTGCCTTAAAATGTAATCTAAAAAGGAATTACATTTGATTTATTTTCTTACTGATCTACACAACCTACTCAAAGTGAACGGAAATTCAAGTATTCAAGTAACATTTTCAAGTATTGTGGTAGCAGCATCATTGTTATTTGTATGCTTGTCAACAGCAGGGACTTGGGAGTTTGTCAGGATCAAATTAAATATGAAAGAAGCAAAGACTATGTAAAAAGTTATCGGATAAACTGCCTCAGTCTTCTGAAAACCCTGGGATAGAGGGGTTTTTTTCAGCGGGACAATAACACCCATTTTAATGCCAAAGACACCAGAATGGTATTTCCAAGAGGTGTTGACTGTTCCTGAATGGTCCAGTCTCAGTCCTGACTTAAATCTGCTTGAGAATCAGAGACAAGGTTTGAATATTGTTGTCCAGCAATGATTCCCAACCAAATGTACTGAGCTGAGCAATTTAGACAAAAACAATGGATATATGTTGCCCTAAGAGTTGCCCTAGGTTGGTAAAATCTTATTCAAAATGATGGTCCTGAAAACAATGTCTTGTCAGACTAGTACCACATGGTTGGCTGCACTGATACAATAATAATATTGTAGCCTGTGTTGTAGGTCCAAGAGCAAGACCCAGATACCACAAAGTATCAGCTTGCAAAGACACACTCACTGCAGTCGTAGAAATCAATTAATACAACAAACTGCAGGCCAAGAAGCCCATCTAACCCAAAAAAGTGGGCTAGTAAGCTGCTGCCTATATGGGTCATCACCCAAATGTCTCATCAACCGTGAGTGGAATGAAGGCCTACGCTCAAGCCAAAGCAAAAACTCAGTCAATTAACATAGCCGGACAGCCAAAGGAGTAGTGCCGGTCACAATTTATTTGGATAGTCCTGTCTGTGTTTATTCATTGTCATGCCAAAGACGTCACTTAGCAACAATAGAAGAGTTGCCTTCAGTTGTGTACACTATGGCACCCACATAATTATATAGAACATATACTATATCTCTATGATGGATTGGGAGCAGGCTGAGTTCCTACCTGTTTCCAGAGGAACACGTCTTCCTGGTTGAACTGCCAGGTGGTGACCAGGTGAATGGTGGAGAGCACCCCTCCGCTCAGCACGGCTGCTCTCATCCTGACAGGCAGCAGCGTGTAGATGATGTAGATGAAGAAGACAGACCACCAGATGCCCTCAGACGCGCTGCGAGGCGCCACCATCAGCACCCCGAACACCTGCACCAGCAACAGCACCCCGATGACCAGGTAGCTCACCATCCACATGTAGTCCTGGTGGAAGCCGTTCCGGTTACACACAAACATGAAGGCCATGAACAAGGCCATGGCCACAGAGAGGGCCGAGGAGTAGGCCACGTCCGGGGGTGCATGGACACAATGGAAGGTAAGCATCACGCCGCACACGATCACAAGCACCCCCATCAGCATGGTGAGGGAGCTCTGGTTGAGCCTGAAGAAGTAGCGCTGGTACAGACGCTCCAGTTTATGAGACTGGAATTTCTTGGACTGGAACACCTGCATCACCCGCAGCCAGCAGTCCGCCACCGTCACCTCCCCTTCCCCATTGGGACCCTCTTCCCCCCCTTCCCCACCACCCCCGCTACACCCCCCCTTCCTCCCTTTCAGGTCCCCGTCCTCAAAGCCCAGGTCGACAGATTTGAGCCCCACCCCTTCCCCGGTGGCGCCGCCCCGTTTGCCATAGTGGTCTTCTTGCCAGATGCAGCGCACGCCAAAGTTGCCCCCCCCGCCCGCCGCCCCAGCCCCCCCTCCGCGGTGGTGGGGGTGGAGGGGGGCTCCAGAGGGGGGCTCCATGGCGTCCGGGTCCCGCAGGCAGCTCATGTAACGCGGGTTGCAGAAGGATGAGCCTCCCTTCTGCTTGGACTTCTTGCCATTGCGCTCCCCCCACGAGGTCTTGCGGTCGTCCACTCTGGCCACTAGGAAGCCGCTAAACCAGGACATTCTGTGTAGGAGGGAAGGGGGACAAGCACAATGTAGGAGGGAGGGGGCGGTGGCAGTTAGAGTTTCAATAAACTTGGAAACATTCATAGATCCACCAACTTAAATTAGACATGCAACATAGTCTTTCTGAAAATTCTTTAAGAAAAAAAAGAACAACCTTCACATGTATTTTCTTAACCTAATGTCCAAAATAAAACTGTTCACCTGTTATTCTAAGGTCACCTGTATGACTGTGGACATTACCTGTGTGGGTTCTGGTACATATCCCAGCCCTATCCTCTCCAGCCGGTCCACTCATTTATCCCAGTAGGCAGAGGTCTGAAGAAGTGAGGGGTTTCAGACGCAGTTCTGCAGGGGTGTGGGTAGGTGGTTGGGTGGGTGGGTGAACGTGACCGGGGTAAGTCCAGGGGCGTGTGAAACCAGAGTTTCGGACCGAGCAGGTGATGTGAAAGGCAGGGTTTAGGGAATCACTCTATGATCCGGCCTATCTCCAGTGCTTCTGAGTCTTGGAGGAGAGACACAAAACACACACAAATACAGGTGAAATTAGAAGGGAATTAGAAGTAAGAAATGTGTTAGCAAGAACCTCAGAAAACCACTTAACCATACATTTATGTCATGGGTCAGTGACAGCACCCAAAAACAAAGTCATACATGGAAGTTGTACAATCATCATTCGGTGATGAAGAGCAACTCTCAATAAGTGCATTCTAAGAATAGTCAGACAACAATACCACAATCATCACAAACAGAGGCGTCATGCCCATAGGGGGCACAAGGGCACATGCCCCCTCAGAATTGTCCTGTAAAAAAATATAATATATATAAATAAAAGTCTTTAATTTTTTGTTGTTGTTTCTCTGTAATACTACTAGCCACATAGCAATTTTATGAAGTTGGCTTTAGCTAGCCCAGATAGGTTCCCAATCTCCCAACCTCATAACTAGCTACCAAGAAGCCATTTCAGGCTATCAATCAAGTTAGAGTAGCTAGCTTGTGTAACTATCTTAGCTGGCATACCTGCTGGCAAAGTTGGTAGACTTTAGAAAAAGCAAGCGATTACTAAATGTACTGATTAAGACTCACATTATTTTCACTCTTTTACCCAGATCTTTGCAGAGACGCAGAGAAGCATATTTAGTTTATTTATTTTTTTAAACCACCAGTCAGGAGGATACAGAGGTATGCTTAGAGGTATGCTTAGACAGCTCAAGAGCTATGCTTAGATATGTCCCCTCAGATTTTTTTGTGTGCATGACACCCCTGATCGCAAATTAAACATTTGTCAAGGTTTAGGCTATTCTTTGGTGGCTTGACTCAGAGAAGCATATTTAGTTTATTTTTTTTAAATACCACCAGTCAGGAGGCTATTCAGACAGCTCAAGAGATATGCTTTGATATGCAGAAAAATAAACATATTTTTGACATAGAATTAAGCATAATGATTATGGCTCTAGATTGCTGGAAAAAAGCTGTTTCAGGTTTTGGCAAAATGCAAAATTCTCCAACTTCTTGGAAGGGGCCTAGCCCCCGTCCAGACTACCCCCCATCCTCACGTACTTTGTGCCCCATCAGATGTTTTGGGTGCTATTCTTTCTTTGGTGGCTTGACTCATTAGAGATGTAAAGAGGAAGGTGTGATAACAGGTGGTGGGAGTCAGAGCCTGTCATCACTGGTAGGAAACACGGATGACATGAACAGTATCACTGACTCATTCTCTCACTGATGAAGACAAGATCACTGGAAAATAATCAGATTGGGCAACCATCATGGACATGCTGCCTGTATCACTACCCTCCTCCATCTGCCTCCAAATACAGATTAAGGGTCAGTTTGACTCTTTAGCTCATGGTGTTAGAGGTGGACATTGGGGTAGGAAAAGCTGGACCTAGATCTGTGGTTTAGTGGCAACTTTGATTCCAAGCAGCTAACACACCTCCATCAATGCTAATGATCATTCAGACATTTCCTGAATCAATTAGACAAAGGAGGGATTTCTCCTAATTTCTGTAAATTAAGATAGGCTATATTCGGGCACAAGCACAACAAATCTTGTCACTGATATACATTGTACACATTATAGGCTTTTCTAATGTATTCAAGGAATTGTGCATTATTTTACCAATGACTACTGTAACTGATTTATAATCTGTGCAGAACTATAGGCTACCCATCCATTATAATAATAAGACTAGTGCAACATATTTTATAGGCTATAGTAGCATAGGCATATTTATATGCGCATGGATGACATAATTATGTATAGTTATTATATGGTTATATATAATTATTACTATATGTCTAGTTCTTCCTAAATCAGCAGAACAAAGAAAACATTGCCTAATAATTATAATGATCACCATCACGACTCTACAGTATCAAAGCTGATGCAGCCTCATAAGTCTCAGTATTCCCTAAACCTATAGGCTCATCAGCTGAGCGTACCAGGGACAGGCCTCAAAACGACCTGAGCTCTTGAATGTGCAGAACGGCTTATATCAAGGCAACGCTGATGTGCTGTCGCCTCTCCTTGCATTTTTGTTTTCATTGGGAACACGAACTGCCGCTCATGTCGAAAGGCATGTTGTGTTGTTGAAGCAAAAATAGATTTTCCTCGCTATGGCTATCGTATGCCTTCTCTGGCACGTAACCATCCAGCCTGCTGGTTGTGGCTTCTGGTTGATCAAGAGGTGTTCAAGGAGAATAGCCTTCAGTCAAAGTGGACGCTACAACCCCTCCGGCTCCGAACACTCCCTTCTCTCCGGTGCACAAGGTCGACCAGTGCGGTGCCCCTATTGCAAATGTCGTGATGTTGCCAATCGTTACGGCGTTCAACAGCTACAATTATCTCTGTGTTTGTGTGGCTGTGCTGTAGATATCCTGCCTGAATCCTTTCCTTCCTACCTCGCTATCGCCTGTAGAATAGAATGCGGGGGACTATTCCTCCGGGACGTTTGCGCGACATTTCGACCGGACAGCAGCATGCTGGCGTTACATAATGCAAACAGTGTGTGCATACCCAGCTAGCACATTTGGTTCCTTGGAAGTTGTGGGAACGTACGTTTTTGGTTTCCCATTGGTTCTGGGAACGAAGCCATATGTTTCCTGACAGGTATAATATAATAATAATATGCCATTTAGCAGACGCTTTTATCCAAAAATGTTTTTTTTTTTACATTCTGAGAACGGAAGTGAACATTTCACCTGTTCTGGGATGTTCATTTTTAGGTTGCAGTGAGGTTCTAAGAACATTTTACTATAGTTCACTGAAAGTTTTTCTGGGAGGTTTTATTAACGTTCTGAGAACGGAAATAATAGGTTATTTGAAGGTAATTAAATAACCTTCTGAGAACATGTTTCAATAATACTTTTCATAACACTGCTAGTTTAGTTTGGGTTAACGGTTTTGAACTCCAAGCATAGATAGGACACATGGAAATTAATTTGCTTAGGCATTAATCATACAAACACCTTTATATTTTATTGTGGCACAACGTCAGTGAGATTCAAACCTATGATCTTCTGTTCTATATCCATGGAATTAGTGTACTGCACCACCAGGATGGAGCTAGCATGCCATGTTTTTTTAACTCATACGAAGCTGTTCATTTTAGTCTATTCAAACATTTCCATGGAAAAACACTAATTAAGATGAGGATTGAGGAATAGCAACTTTGCTTAACTTTCTTCTTAAATCTTTAGTTAAGGAAAAAATGGCAGTTAAGAAGACATTTTTTCTTAAGAAGGTTTTGTGAATATGGGCCCTAGTGTGGCCAATTAGTGGGTGCGGACAACACACCTGAACACACTTAATAAGATAGAAAATAGAGAGAGTTTTGTTGATGCAGAGAACGGAATGTATATGTTTTTAAATAACATTCTTAGTAGGGGTGTGCCGACATGGCCATACTCGTATTTGTAATCGTATGCGTAAATTGACAGTTGATAGTCGGATCGGATCTGATGATACTCATGATTGGAAAAAAACGGAAGTGTTTTAATATGCCTAAATAGATGTTGGCAAAATACCTCCCTGCACATTCTCACTACAAAAAATATGCAGATTAGGAGCAGTGCGCGGAGGAGTGGGTGTGTCTGTGTGTGTGTGTCTGTGTACTCAACTTGCAGCGGGCAGCCAAGTTTGCTGTCACTCAGTCAGAATGCACATTGATAGCTTGACCACTGTGCCACCTCACGAGTGGCTGTGCCACTAGAGATCCTGGTTCGAATCCAGGCTCTGTCGTAGCCGGCCGCGACCGGGAGACCCATGGGGCGGCGCACAATTGGTCCAGCGTCGTCCAGGGTAGGGGAGGGAATGGCCGGCAGGGATGTAGCTCAGTTGATAGAGCATGGCGTTTGCAATGCCAGGGTTGTGGGTTCGATTCCCACGGAGGGCCAGTATGAAAAAATATATTTTTTAAATAATGTATGCACTCACTAACTGTAAATCGCTCTGGATAAGAGCGTCTGCTAAATGACTAAAATGTAAAAAAATGATAGCAAACGTCCTCGCTATGTGATTTATCATAGTGGCAGGCAGCAGCAATCTAATTGATCAGACCGAAAACATGCAAAGAAAAGTGATTGGGTGAAATTATGAAGCAAGTGGACAGAGAAATACAGCTTCACTCGATCCAATCAGAGCAACAGGATCAACGTAAAGCCCGCCCTTCTCTTTACAGACAGGCAAACTAACCAGTTGAGTTATTTAGACCACGCACATGACTGACTCAAAGACAGTTCAGTATGGTTTAGAAACTATGTGACTGACTGACATGAGAAAGATGCTTGCTGGCACCCGAAAATAAAAATAAATCAGATCACGGATCATTTATAAAAAATACTCGGATCATAATCGTCTTCAGAAAATGTCCCATATCCGTTACGATACTCATTTTGTCCGACTACTCGGCACACCCCTAATTCTTAGAACATTCTCTGAATGTTACTAATGTTTTCTTGTGGTTTTTATGGAAAGTTTTCTTAACATTCTTGGAACA